TACTTTAATTTGGCATTAAAATATGGCAACACATTTTTTGGTCGAAATTCATGTCAAAATGTGGTCCCCTAAAAATGGATATCGACATGGGTCGAAATTTCCCCCTTCCATAACTCGGCCAAAACTCAACCGATTTTTGCGAGATTTGGATTTTTCTTCATGGTTTTGAACCTACTTTAATTTGGCATTAAAATATGGCAACACATTTTTTGGTCGAAATTCATGTCAAAATGTGGACCTCTAAAAATGGATATCGACATGGGTCGAAATTTCCCCCTTCCATAACTCGGCCAAAATTCAACCGATTTTCACGAGATTTGGATTTTTCTTCATGGTTTTGAACCTACTTTAATTTGGCATTAAAATATGGCAACACATTTTTTGGTCCAAATCCATGTCAAAATGTGACCCCTTAAAAATGGATATCGACATGGGTCGAAATTTCCCCCTTCCATAACTCGGCCAAAATTCAACCGATTTTCACGAGATTTGGATTTTTCTTCATGGTTTTGAACCTACTTTAATTTGGCATTAAAATATGGCAACACATTTCTTGGTCCAAATCCATGTCAAAATGTGGTCCCCTAAAAATGGATATCGACATGGGTCGAAATTTCCCCCTTCCATAACTCGGCCAAAATTCAACCGATTTTCACGAGATTTGGATTTTTCTTCATGGTTTTGAACCTACTTTAATTTGGCATTAAAATATGGCAACACATTTTTTGGTCCAAATCCATGACAAAATGTGGTCCCCTAAAAATGGATATCGACATGGGTCGAAATTTCCCCCTTCCATAACTCGGCCAAAACTCAACCGATTTTTGCGAGATTTGGATTTTTCTTCATGGTTTTGAACCTACTTTAATTTGGCATTAAAATATGGCAACACATTTTTTGGTCGAAATTCATGTCAAAATGTGGACCTCTAAAAATGGATATCGACATGGGTCGAAATTTCCCCCTTCCATAACTCGGCCAAAATTCAACCGATTTTCACGAGATTTGGATTTTTCTTCATGGTTTTGAACCTACTTTAATTTGGCATTAAAATATGGCAACACATTTTTTGGTCCAAATCCATGTCAAAATGTGACCCCTTAAAAATGGATATCGACATGGGTCGAAATTTCCCCCTTCCATAACTCGGCCAAAATTCAACCGATTTTCACGAGATTTGGATTTTTCTTCATGGTTTTGAACCTACTTTAATTTGGCATTAAAATATGGCAACACATTTTTTGGTCCAAATCCATGACAAAATGTGGTCCCCTAAAAATGGATATCGACATGGGTCGAAATGTCCCCCTTCCATAGCTCCGCCAAAATTAAACCGATTTTCACGAGATTTGGATTTTTCTTCATGGTTTTGAACCTACTTTAATTTGGCATTAAAATATGGCAACACATTTTTTAGTCGAAATCCATGTCAAAATGTGGTCCCCTAAAAATGGATATCGACATGGGTCGAAATTTCCCCCTTCCATAACTCATCCAAAACTCAGCCGATTTTCACGAGATTTGGATTTTTCTTCATGGTTTTGAACCTACTTTAATTTGGCATTAAAATATGGCAACACATTTTTTGGTCCAAATCCATGTCAAAATGTGGTCCCCTAAAAATGGATATCGACATGGGTCGAAATTTCCCCCTTCCGTAACTCGTCCAAAACTCAACCGATTTTTGCGAGATTTGGATTTTTCTTCATGGTTTTGAACCTACTTTAATTTGGCATTAAAATATGGCAACACATTTTTTGGTCGAAATTCATGTCAAAATGTGGACCCCTAAAAATGGATATCGACATGGGTCGAAATTTCCCCCTTCCATAACTCGGCCAAAATTCAACCGATTTTCACGAGATTTGGATTTTTCTTCATGGTTTTGAACCTACTTTAATTTGGCATTAAAATATGGCAACACATTTTTTGGTCCAAATCCATGTCAAAATGTGGTCCCCTAAAAATGGATATCGACATGGGTCGAAATTTCCCCCTTCCATAACTCGGCCAAAATTCAACCGATTTTCACGAGATTTGGATTTTTCTTCATGGTTTTGAACCTACTTTAATTTGGCATTAAAATATGGCAACACATTTTTTGGTCGAAATTCATGTCAAAATGTGGTCCCCTAAAAATGGATATCGACATGGGTCGAAATTTCCCCCTTCCATAACTCGGCCAAAATTCAACCGATTTTCACGAGATTTGGATTTTTCTTCATGGTTTTGAACCTACTTTAATTTGGCATTAAAATATGGCAACACATTTTTTGGTCCAAATCCATGTCAAAATGTGGTCCCCTAAAAATGGATATCGACATGGGTCGAAATTTCCCCCTTCCATAACTCGGCCAAAATTCAACCGATTTTCACGAGATTTGGATTTTTCTTCATGGTTTTGAACCTACTTTAATTTGGCATTAAAATATGGCAACACATTTTTTGGTCCAAATCCATGTCAAAATGTGGTCCCCTAAAAATGGATATCGACATGGGTCGAAATTTCCCCCTTCCATAACTCGGCCAAAATTCAACCGATTTTCACGAGATTTGGATTTTTCTTCATGGTTTTGAACCTACTTTAATTTGGCATTAAAATATGGCAACACATTTTTTGGTCCAAATCCATGTCAAAATGTGGTCCCCTAAAAATGGATATCGACATGGGTCGAAATTTCCCCCTTCCATAACTCGGCCAAAATTCAACCGATTTTCACGAGATTTGGATTTTTCTTCATGGTTTTGAACCTACTTTAATTTGGCATTAAAATATGGCAACACATTTTTTGGTCCAAATCCATGTCAAAATGTGGTCCCCTAAAAATGGATATCGACATGGGTCGAAATTTCCCCCTTCCATAACTCGGCCAAAATTCAACCGATTTTTGCGAGATTTGGATTTTTCTTCATGGTTTTGAACCTACTTTAATTTGGCATTAAAATATGGCAACACATTTTTTGGTCGAAATTCATGTCAAAATGTGGCCGCCCAAAATCGGATATAGACAAGGACATGGGTCTAAATTTCCCCTTCTTATAACCTGGTCAAACTCAACGGGTTTTCACGAGGTCAGGTTTGTTGTTCGTGGTTTGGCCTCTAGATAATTCTATATCTGACAACATTATTGTTGGTCAAAATTCATGTTCAAATGCTACTTTAAAATATCCTATATAGACATAGGCTAAATTGGCCCACACCCATAGAAGTTTCCGAACGGAGACCAATACAAATCGGACCACATCAATTCCCCCTTTTTTTCGAGCAGACACTTTTCTTGACCGGACATTACCCTACCCAACAGTCGCTGTCAGCCCAAGCCAGTTTTCTCTGTATAATTTTATTTTTCTTAATTCAACTAATCTTGAAAATTAGATGCTCAAACAATAGAAAACTGAACTCAAGAATGTTCTAAAGCCCGTCCACTGCTTTGCATTCATTCAAAAACATGGTAAAATAGATTGGTATAATATTTAATGCATTTAGCTATATAAAGCAGTTAATCGAATAGATTTGGGTTAATTTGTAGACGCCCTTCTTTATTAGAATATTATAGACTTATTATACGTAATGAAGAGAACTTTCGGTAAAAGTAAGCATAGGTTAATTATAGTTAATACAAAGATATCGAACATGTTATCGATAGTACTAACGCCACTAAGACTGCTATCGATATCACGTTCAACACTATAAGCACTATCGATAACATATTTGTTAATGTTAGTTTTGAAATTTCTTGAAATTTATGCAGTCGTTTCTAGCCACCTTTCATTAACCGTAATCGCCTCACTCACACACCTTGATCATGTCAAACAAGTTCTTTGGTCTTCCACGGCTGTCCTCCATGGTCACATTGATTATCAACGCTAGTAATTAGCTGCATTGATTTGACATTTGCATAGCTAGCGAATAAATGTAATCGTTTTCTTTGTCATTCACAATAACTTAGCCTTTCGGCTGTTCTAATGAGCTGCGACTAAGTCGCTGTGGCTAATGACACCTCATCAGCTGAGCCAGCGATTAGTTGCCATGTAAACTTTTAACGGCCTTTGGAACTTTGCTGCCAAATGGCCGCCAACAACTTTGGCATCTTTTAGCTGGCCATTTGCCGAACTGCCGCAGTGACACCTTCCAGCCATGGGGCTGGCGGGGATGCGGATGCGAATGCGAGTGAGCATGAACGTTGGCAGCTGGCGCCGCCTCCATTCAGAATCACTTTATGGCTCATTCGTCGTTGGGGCCATAATTGGACGCGGTGCCAATCATTTTAACAGCTAGGCAAACACGCAACCCAAAGCAAAGCAAGGCAAACCCAAAGCGAACCGAAACCAAAGACAGAACCACCAAAGCCAAAGCCAAAACCAAGACCAAAACCAGAACCAGTCGCCGCTGTCAGTTCATGTTCCATGTCTTCGGCAATGTCGCTGAATGATAATGCAAAATATGCAGTCAAAGAAGCTACCAGTTCCTTTGACATACAATACACTGAGCGAAAAGCGACTATGCTTTGTTTTCTATTATAGCAGATGTGCTTAGCGTAAGCGGGGAAATCGCCTATTAGATTTGTTTTATGAATTTGATCGCATCATATTTGAGATCTAGGATTTTTACTTCCACTGAGTTGCACATAATTTTGTGCAGTGTAGCTTTGGAGAGCTTCAGCCTGTCTGAATGACAATTGGCGCCATGGCCGCGGGGCGTTGCGAGCAAGGCTGATGGCTCGGCAATTGGTTGGGTGGATCGCGGATCGCGGATCGTGGACTGTGATCCTGCCGGGGCACTTGTTTGTTTATAATTAGCCGCGACCAAAACGATGCTGGCGACGGCAACGACGACGACGGCGACGGCAATTCAAATTAATGACCAGCTACTGGTTTCTCCGGCATCTATTTTTATGGCCGATCAATTTTCTAATAACTGCTCCCTCTCTCTCTCTTACACACACACGTATATACTCTAACATGCTCTCTCTCTCTTTCTGTTTCGCTTTCAGGCGGAAATGCTGATGGAGGATTCGCGATTGTTGCCGCTGGGCTCGGTGGCGCCGCCATTGCCGCAACCGCCGCCGCCGCCGCCGTCAACGCACCAGACGCTGCCCGCCAGCCTGAAGCATCATCATCATCAGCGCGGTGGCGCCTCCGCTGCGCCCGTCGTTGCCGTTGCCACCGCCGCCGACATTCCGAGCAAGAAGCTAAAGGCGCCCCCATTGGACAGCTATCATCCAGCCATGGACTTGCAGCACTATCACATCATGTACGCGCACTGCATGCAGCAGCAGCAGCAGCAGCAGCAGCAGCGGGAGCAGCGAGAGCAGCGGGAGCAAAGGGAGCGGGAACGGGAGCGTGTGGAGCGCGTGGTGGTGGGCACGCATCCGCTGGCAAGCAGCGCGTTTCAGCCGTGGCGTGCGGCAAAGCCAACGCCCGCTGCCTATTTGCAGGCATTCAGCGCGTTGTCCTCGCTGCCGTATGCCTGCCAGGAGCCGCCGGAGCTGCAGAATCCGGAGCGCGTGGTGCGCAGCACGGATCGGGAACGCTTCGAGCAGCACTATCAGCCGAATGTGGCGCTGGCGCCGCGCAAAAGCATACTGTGCAAGGAGCGCGAACTGGAGCGCCAGCGTCTCCGGCAGGAGCAGGAGCTGCAGCTGCACATCAAACAGGAGCGCGCCCCAACCCCGCCCCTGGAGCCGCTGAATGGCAGCAATAGCAATCACAGCAACAGCTCCAACAGCAGCTCGCCCATGCCCAAGCCGGCGCCCGCCCATTTGGTGGTGGCGCCGGCTCCGGCTCCGGCGCCGCTGCCGCCCCCGCTCCCGCCCAGCCACGCAGCGTTGCCGCCAGCGGCGCGCCATGTGCCACGCAGTCCCGCCGAGGAGTTCTCGGCGGGCAGCAATGAGATTACCTCCTCCACATCGCCGGTGCCAGCCGCAGCAGCAGCAGCAACAGCAGCCACAACAGGAGCAGCAGCAGCTGGAGCAACTGCAGCTGGAGCAGCTGGAGCTGGCACGCCGAGCAGCCACATTATAGCCACCGTTAATCAGCATGCCAAGCTGCTGCCCACAAGCAGCAATCACCACCATCACAACCACAACCACAATCACCACCAGCACCACAACGAACCAAGTCGCATTAGGATCAACAAGAATCTGATGAGCCAGCCGCCGGTGACGGCGGCAATTGCTGCACTGCAGCCGATCTACTATAAGACGCCGCATCCGGCCGGCTATTCGCCGACGCAGTCTTCCAGCGCCGGCGGTCTCAATCTCAGCACGCACTCCTCCAATGTGGTCAGCTCGCCGCACGCCAAGCAGCAGCAGCTGTTGCAGCTGCAACATCAGCAACAGTTGCCAGCGGCGACGGCGGCGGGGCAGAATGGCAATGGCCATTTGAAGCCGCATTCGGGCTGCGAATTCGAGCTGTCCACGGACACGGACGACGATAGTCTGAATGGCGAGCCGGACAGCAGCGCCGCCATGCTGCCGCCCTGGGAGCTGGCCGTGGATGCGCTGCGCGATACGCGCGCCAAGGATCGGGAGCGTGTGCTGCACCTGCTCCAGCGGCTGTTGCACGAGAATCAAAAGTATCGCGATACCAATGGCCAGCTGGGCGAGCTGCTGCACAAGCGGGAGACGGAGATTGCGGAGCTGCGCGAGCAGCTGCAGCATTGTCGGCGCCAGTTGGAGGCGTTGGACAAGCTGCGTGTGGTGCCATTGAAGCAAACGTTGCTTGAGCAGCGACTGGACGAGGAGATGGACGAGGATCATGATCATGATCAGGAGGAGGAGGAGGAGGAGGAGGAGCTGCTGCTGGGCGGCGAGGAGGCGGATAGCAATGAGACGCTCACGCAGGATCAGGCCAACAACAACAGCAGCAACAACAACAACAAGGCGCAGGCAAATGGCTTGCGGCGCAGTCCAACGCCGCTCAACTGTTGCGCAACTGTTGCACAGCAGGAGCCGGAGGCGCCGGCGTGCAAACGCCTCAAGCTGCAGGCACAGCAGAAGCCCAAGCCGGCGAATGGACATGCCAAGAGTCCAAGTCAAAGCGGCGCCAGCGACGACGACGACGAAGACGAGGAGGATGAGGAGGAGGAGGAGGAGGTGATGGGGACAGAGCAGCATTCGGACGAGGCAAGGCAGCGCACGGCGCAGGCGCAGGCGCCGCACAGCAGCGCTTTGACAACGCCGCCCACAGCGACCACGCCCCAATCACCAGACTCGGCCGCAACCGCCGGGCAGCTGTTCGACAGCAGCAACAGCAGCGATGAGTCGGCCATGAAGAAGGCGCAAATGTGCGCCAGCCAGGCGCTGGCCAAGATTACCAGCAACAACAACAACAACAACGGCGAGGAGACAGACCCAGAGGATGAGGAGGAGGAAGAAGAGGAAGGGGAAGCAGAGCAGCAGGCAGCGACGCAGCAGGAAGACTCGGATGATGACGAGATGCCGCTGCAGCAGCGCCAACAACAGCAGCAGCAGCAGCAGCGACGCCAGCGACGCGACGTGGCTGCGCTGCCGACGCCAGCGCCGACAGCGACGCCCATTTTAATGGCCACCAAAGCGAGCAAAAAGCAAACGCCGCCAATTACAACAACAACAACAGCAGCAGCAACAGCAGCAACAATAGCAACAACAATAACAACGAATTGCGAATTACAAATCAAAAAGGAAATTGTCTAAGCAAACCCCCCGCCCTGCCCCGCCCCGCCCCTACACCCACGCCTCTTCTAGCACCAAGCAGCTGCCGCAAACGCATTGCAATTAACAGTTGCAACTTAGCTCATATAGTCGTCTCTTTCACACACACACAGCAAGCTAGCTAAGCTTAGCCTAAATCTTTAAGAAAATAACAAAAAATGGTTAATAATTATGCTCAACGCTTAACGCACATGAAATACCCTATCGCAGGGTAGGCTGCGATAAAAAAGAAAAGAAAACACACGACAATTTTCAACACTTTCTCTAAACATTTTGTATAGCTTGTTTTGATCTCACGTATAACACAAAATTTGTTAGGCTTCCAAATTCGTTCTGTTCTATAGAAACTAATTCTAAATATGTTATACTATTATTTTGTTTAACAAATTTCTTCAACTTTGCTGCAGAAGTTATCAACATTGAAACCAAAGCTTTAAATGAATAAACAAAAAAAAAAGAAAAACAAAAGTTAAAATTTACAAATAAAAATAACAAAAAAGATAACATAATTCTGTATATTGCGAGACCACAATTGATGCGTGTGTGTTTTTTTTTTTAATTATTATTAATATTTTTATGATTTAAACTAATGTTAGAGCTTATTTGATAAGTTTAAGGCTTAAACGGAAACTTCGAAGACATTTAAAGAGAACATGAAGAGAACAAGAAAAGAAATGAACTCAAAGCGAGGCTTGCAAAATTTAGCAAATTATTCAACACTGACAAGTGTTCCACTTTCTTTCTGCTTGGCACAGATTTCCGCATAGCGGCAGTTTAACAGGCCCCCAACAAACAAAAAATCCTCAATTTTTCATTTAATTTTATTTACTTTACTTTTATAGTTATGCTTCTTTTAAGTTTAGTTCTAACTTTAAGTTGGAAGCAAAAAAAAAAAACGATTAAAGCAAGAGCGTTGCGAGAGCGAGAGAGAAATACACACACACAAAATGAACCCACCACTAAAAAAAATAAAATTATATAAAATAATTCAAATAAAAACAAAAAGAGAAAAGGAAACGAATTGCTAAACAAATCTTAACGAAACGTAACGTCATGTAACGTAACGTAATGTAACGTAACGTAATTAAGACAAATGAATGTTTTACAACACTGAACATGTTGCCGCGTTTAATTGAGCAAGTTTATACAACTAAAAATCTATGCTATATATGAATATATATACACACACATACAACATACATATTTACAAACAATCTAAACATAAATACATATAAACATTAATATTTATTATAGCGTCTAATTCAAATTCAAATTAATTAATTGTAGTCTTCTGTTTCACACTGTAAGCTTTGCTTTGTAGGCATTTAGTTAAATAGTTTATAAACAACAACAACAAAAAAACAAAAAATTGAAAAAAAAAAACAACAACAACAAATGCTAAACGTAGTTTTTAAGCAACTTCTTCTTTGTCTTTGTATCATGTGAATGGCAAATACTCGTAACTGTTATTGTAAATATCATTTCTATCGATGAATCGATAATGCGATCTATCGATATGTCACGTACTTTCGATTTCGTTGCCAACACTCTTTGTGAATGTTGCTTTGCAGAAGTAGAAGAAGAAGAAGAAGAAGCCAAGCCAAGCCAAGAGCCAAGCGAAAGCGCGCGAGCACAGATTTCAAAAATCTATAAACTTTTGTTAAACATATATATTATATAACACACACACACACACACACACACATCTAATTCATAAACTAAATTTTAAATTTTCATTATGCCTGTGTGTGTTTTGTACTTTCTAAAAGAAAAGCAAGAAAATCTAAACTTTTCGAAGCAACAAAAAAAATTAAGAAAAACAAAAACAAAAACAAGAAATTTAAACCAAAATTCAAATTTAGCCCTAAGCGTCGCCAGCGAAAAACGTGTAAAATTGTATAAACAAACAATTATTAATAAACAAATGGAAATTAAAATTAAAATTAAAATATATATATATATATACATTTACAGTTTAACAGCAACAACAACAGCAACAAAACATAAACAATTGTTATGCAAATTTGAAAAGTTATTTAAATTAAACGCAAAAAACAAAAAGAAAAGAGAAAAGAAGAAAAAGAAACGAATTACAAATTGCTATGCAAAAAGATAAATAATAAAAAATTTAAATATAAATAAAAGAAAAAACAACAAATTATTGTACATTAATTATTTGTATGTTCATTTTGTGTTTCATTTACAAAACAAAATTCCAACAGAAAACTCCCTCCCTCCCTACCCCCCCTCAGAAACTGAAGTGAAAAATTAGAAAAACTAACGGAAAAACTAACAAGAAGGTTAATCAAAACGGTTTTCACAACATTTTTTATATTAAAGGCCAAATTTTACAAATTACAAAAACAAAAAAGAGAAGAAAAACAAACAAATTGAAAACAGAGCGCAGAGAAACGTACACACAATTTTTGCAGTTTTTTGTATAATTATTTCTTTTGCTAATAACCCAAAGAAGAGTTATATATATTAACAAAATAATAATTATTAAACGACAAAAAAACAAAAACAAAAACAAAAACAATCATTTTATTAACAAAAATATATAAAACAAATTTTACAAAAAAAAGAAAAACAAAATAAAAAGCTGCTTTAAATAAAAATAAAAAAAATTAAATATTGTTAAAAAATGTATTCAAAAACAACAAGAACAACAACAAGAACAATTAATAAATGGCATTAGTTATTAACAAATACGCATGCATATACAGAAATCGGCGTCTTGTCAATATATTATTATTATTATTATAATTATTGCATAATAATTACAATAATTATTATTAACTATTATTTATTTATGTGACATTCAGAATGCAAATAAAATGTACAAATTGTGGACAAAACGGTCAACGGATGCGATTAAAAATAAACAAAAACAAAGTTTAATTCAATTAAACGGTTAGAGGAAAAACAACAACAACAACAACAACAATTTAACTTCAACGTTTCATATTTAAGTAGTGCAGCAACAAATAAAACAAAATTAATAATAATTAATAAAAATAAAAAACGAAACAAAAAAAAGCGAAAAATTATTACATATGTAAAGTCAAGACAAAATACACAAACAACAACAAAATGGTAAATATTATGCATAATAAATATTTGAAAAACATCAAATCGAATCTACTTTTTATTAAAACTTGTTTTAAAATTTATTTGTAAATATTTGCAGCATGCTTTTGGGCAGCGCGTTTAAGATTTGCCAGTCTTTTTATGTTGCATACTTTCGAGCTGATAATAAGAACGGCCTTAGCGAATACAACAACCCTGTCTACACAAGCAGCCTACTCAACATGACTACCTGTCAATAGATGGCGGCGCAAGCGTCGAGCAGTTTGGCCAGTACACAACTGGCTGGCAGTTGTACGCTTAGCTGCTAGATGGCGCTTTGCGAATTAACGGCTTGCTAACGTATTTTAGAAATTCAAATTATTGTAAGCACAAGAAAAACCAAATTAACTTCAAAAATGTATGAAATTTCCAATTAACTAATAAAATAAAAAATGACAACCAATTTGAAAGGTCAAAGCAGGTCGAACCATGATTAAAGTGTCATTAATATTGCAAAAACTTAAAGGAAAAACTTTGTTTAAGCAAGTAGATAAAAGATGGCCAGATATTCTAAAGCAAAAGTTCAAATCGCATGAAAAACCACTCAGCTTATAATATTATAATGGTAATTTCCCATATGTAGATATGTTTGTGCATTGAAAATATGTGATTGAATAAGGAAAATAAAAAATGCACTTACCCCGAAAAACTCTCTTGCAAAAGCCAAAGAGAAAGCGCAAGCTCCAGAATCCGGTAGAAAAAAAAGAGGGCAAGGGCCTGGTTAAGTGTGCCGCATGGAGTCGCAGCCGCAGCGTCTCAGTCGCAGCCTCTTCTTCAGTCTCAACGAGCGAGCCACAGGGAACGCGGCGCGTGCGCATGACGGCAAAGTTGTTGCTTTTTCGAGGGGGGAGGGGCAGCTGCAATTAAGTGAAAAGAACTTTAGTTAAACTGTGTGACTTAAGATAGTTTCTATTTGATATTAAGCAAAAGCAGCAGAGCTCACAAATTGTTTTTCCCGACTCGGTTTTAGTTTGTGGCGTGGCTTTTATTTTTTTCGTTTTTTGTTTTTTTTTTTCGTGTTGTCTTTAAGCATTTTCAGGCGAAACCGGTTTTCGCTCTCTCTCTCTCTCTCTCTCTCTCGCACGCAAACGGAACGTGGAACTGAAAACATAAACAAAACAGAGCGAAATATTTTGCGCAGAACAAAAACAACAACAAGAAAAACGAAAAACGGAATACGAAAAACGGAAAAGGAAAGAACGGAAAAGGAAAGAACGGACAGACATTGCTTGCTTTGAAAATGAGCGCACGTTCGCCGCACAGCGATCCGGCCTTGGCGGGATTGCCGCAGCTAATTGAAGATTTGCAGCGACTGTGCGAGGATCAGGACAGCGCCGATGTGGTCTTTATATGTGGTCGGGACGACGAGAAGATCTACGCACACAGAAGCATTCTAATGGCGCGGTTAGTAATCAGTCCAATACGAAATACGAATATTCCAATTGGATTTTCTAATATTGCGCACTAATTTAACCAATTGGTTTTTTTGTTTCTTGTAATACGATATTTAACTGTTACTTCTTCGTGCTCACTCGTGTCACGTGCGAAAGCACGTCGCAATGCTAAAGTCTCGGCCCAGTCTGATTGGACTGGTTCTCCTTTTATGGCACTGCACTGCGACTGCGTGCAGTCATTTGCGGCTTTAGCACGTGCCGCACACTCATTGATTTGATTAGTTAATTAACGTTTTCTTTTATACTAGCTGCAAGAGCTTTAAGACCGCGAAGCGCGGCGAGGTCTGCCGGATTCCCATTCCGGGCTGCACAGTCTCGCCGGCGGCACCGGGCACTGGCACGCCGACAGCAATACGATTGCCGCATATTAATGCCGAATTGTTTCGACAGTTTATATTGTATGTGTACACTGCAAAGGTTGGTAGCAAGCCCAATTCGCCTAATTTAACATACTCACCGGCATTTATATTCTTTTATAGCTTATGCTGCAGGATTATCGCGTCTTCGAAATGTTAACCCTGGCTCAAGACATGGGCGTCTTTGAGCTGCGTGCCGCTTGCGAGGATCATGTTATTTCCACACTGTCTGTAGATAATGCATGCACTTTTTTGACCGCAGTCATGGATATACACGAGAAAGCAGGTGCGTAACTTTAAAATTTGATATTTTCGGTTTATAAATTTATTTCGGCCGCGGCTATTCGATATTAAAAACGCGCTTTTGCCATTCAACACGCGCGAGTTTCAGAGTCGCACTAATATCGATAAGCAAAAACAGCTGTTGGCGATGGTAAAACTATCGTTGCTTTAAACAAAACAAACTATCGAATGCATCATGTGGCTCCTTTCGATACTATTGTTATGGCACGTTTTTATTTAGCCACCAAAACGCAAAACATGTATTAAAAATTTAGTTTTTATGGTTCTCTTTTTATACAACAAGTAAAACTAAGTTGAACAAACTAATAACAACGATTAGTTGAATGCGCAGTCGTAGTCCTCATTAACTGTACATGCTGCTCACATTTTTGATTGTTCACGTTGTAACCTCTGCCCGTAGGTTCGCGAAATAAGGTTCCACGAGTCCATGAAACGGTCCATACACAATGACACGCATTTCTAGAAACAATTAGAATGGTTCATTCCAGAGCAGCGATTCTTAGACAATAATGTGGCATAGGCTCGTGAACATACCTGCTCAGATGCGTCAAGCGATGTTCCTGGCTTGTTAATGCATTTCTTGAAGCATTTTGTGGTCATTTGTGTGAGCAACTCTTGCGCATTTGCAACCGCAATTTGTTGTTTCACTTGGTCCATTATTTCACCCTTATCAACGGTGTGAGCCATGTTTTTGTTTATTTTGAGGCAAAAACTTCTCAAATTTCTCAAACCGAGATCTTCTGACGCAACCGGCCTGTATTCAACTATCGATATGAGCCTACTATGCTATCGTGTTTTCTCGTGACTAGGGTTTCATGTGCGATAGTATCGATCACAATACTTTTGCTCACCGAAAAAGACGCCGGCAGCAGCAGCAGAAAAAAAAAAAAAAACAGAAAACGTTTTTGCGAAAATATATTAAACGTAGACTAGAGTCAATAACAAAGCACCAAAATGTCCTTCAAAGGCAACCCAAAGGTGCAAAAGGTGATGGTGCAGCCCATCAACCTGATCTTTCGTTACCTGCAAAGCCGTTCGCGCGTCCAAGTGTGGCTCTACGAGAACATTTCGCTGCGCATCGAGGGCCACATTGTGGGCTTTGACGAGTACATGAATCTGGTGCTGGATGATGCCGAGGAGGTGTATATTAAAACGCGCCAACGCAAGAATCTTGGCCGCATCATGCTCAAGGGGGACAACATAACGCTTATACAGAATGTCAGCCCGTCCAAGGATTAGGCTAAATTCGCGTAAAACTAATAAAAAAAAAAAAAAAACCATACATCATAAGTGATTTAATTGTAAGCCGAAAGGTTATCCACAATAAAATGAAAGAACTTTTTATATGAAACTGGCGACTTTTAATGGGAACGTGTAGCACAGCTCAGGTGAATTGATTGCTTAAATGTCCAAATTATTCATGTCTATATCCGCTTTGCAGGTGCCAAGTGCGCGGCTTCGTTTATGGAGCGCTGCATCATTTATATCGGAGAGAATGCCGGCGAGTGTGTTAAAACAAACTCGTTTCTTACACTTACCAAGGAGGCGCTCATCAAAATCATATCATCGGACTATGTAGGTGCAACCTTGAATCCTTCTTCATTCTTTATATGAACTTTGTTTTTCACTTTCAGTTCTGTTTGGAGGAGGAGGAGGTTTGGCGCTGTGTTTTAGCTTGGGCCAAATACCAGGCGGGCGTCACCCAGCCCACAGCCCACTGGACCGAGGAAGAGCGTGCTCGCGTCTGTCAGCATTTGAGCGGCGTGATGGGCCATGTGCGCCTGCTCTTGATCGATAGCCAGGTGTTTGCCGAAGAAGTGGAGCCCACTGGCGCTGTGCCCATGGAGCTTTCGCTGGAACGCTATCGCTACGCTGCCCTGCATCCCAATAAGTTGGTGGACAATGATAAGCGTCTGCAGCCGCGCCTTGCGGTCAACATGTTTCCGGGCTCGCAAATCTTGCGCAACGATAAGCTGCCATTGCAGGGCATACTCAACGGCTGGTTTGGTGTGCCCAAGCAGAGCTGGCGTTTGGTTTTCCGCGCCTCGACGCACGGCTTTGGCTCTAGCTCGTTTCATCGTTATTGCGATGGCGTCGCCCCGTGCATGGTTATTGGATTGGGCGCACATGGCGAGATTAGTGGTGGCTATACGGATGTCGCCTGGGCCAAGACCAGTCGCAAGGGTGGCTATTTGCATTCGGAGCGCGCATTCCTGTTCATGTTGAATCCACCAAATGGCGAACAGCCCGCCAAATTTGATATCGTCAAGAAACCATATGCCATCTGCTATCATCCAGAGTAAGTGACTGTCAAGCGTTGATCTATATAAAAAAAGCTTCTATTAATCCATGCCATAACCGAACAGCTGCGGTCCCATATTTGGAGCTGGTGCCGATCTGCTCATATCCAGCAACTGTAACGTGAACACGGACTCGTACTCCAATTTGCCACACTCCTACGACGGACCCAGCGCCGCACATGTGACGCTCTTTGGCGATTACAATTTCGCGATCAGCGATTATGAGGTTTACACTCTGGCCGCCACCCACGGACATGGGCACGGGCACAGTCATAGCCAAAGCCTGGCGAGCAATGGCCAAGCGCCGGGCGTGCCCAGCAAAACAAAATATGATAGATACTAAGTTAACAATTAGACAGACATTTTTGTAGTTCCAATTGCCCAGCAGCTCTCAGCTGGCAATAAAATTCAGATCATAATCCCAGCTGGCCATTTGCAAATGGTATTCGGAGTCAAGTTTATGACATGGCACAAGGTAACGACCAGAAATGGAAAGGTAATTAATGATTGGAAAACTATTGTCGGAGTTTTTTATTTGTTGTTAGCCAACTTCTTGGTTGCCAAGAACCAAAATAATTAACTCGTTTCCCTGTGTCTTTGTGTGTAAAGCTGAAAGTGTTGGGCGGCGGCTTCAGTTGAAGCTTGCGAGGGTGGCTCCAGGAGTTTGCATAAACTTTATATAGATGTCATCTTAGTGAGAAAAATGATTTTTAAAGAGAGAACTAAAGAGAGAGCTAACTATGTCTTTGTCTTCCGCATACGTAAATTCTATTTATTTTTCAATTTTGGTTTATATTTCAATTTGAAATCTAAGCAATCTTATTACTTTGTCCGGCACCTAATGCCCTTCAAGGTTCGATTCGTGGTAATACAGATTGGAATTCCGAATTCGAGTCGCTGCTTTTGAAAATCACTTGAATTTCTAGTTATTACTCAAACAATCGATTCGTTTAGTAACAAATAAATAGCTTGACTTTATATATATATAACAAACAATGAATGTGCTGTGCACTTGAACCTGGTGCTGGGGTCCACACCTCTCGCATAATTGACAAAGAAAAACAAATGCGTAAAAGGTACATTTCAGATCGATTCAGTTCAGTTCGGGCTAGAATAATAAGTCACTCATAATGGCCAATGCTTGAGTTATAGTAAAATATATATAAAGCCCGGACGGTCAGCAATAGATCGCCCCTCCCCCCTCCCCCCCTCCTCCTCATCTAGAGAGGTGTGCACATGGCGCTGAAGTTGATCTCAACTGGTTTTCAACTACTTTTCAAAATGCTTCTGATAAATTGGTCCACGCTTTAAATTGGTTCTAATTAAAGCGATTTTTTCCTCTTTTTTTATATTTTATATTTTATGCTGATCGAATCGATCAACGACTATGGCATCTAAGGCGCCTGCCCGCCGGAACCCCTTCTACATACTTTGTGTCATTCGTCGCGGAGCTCGGGAATCGGTATAGGAATTGAAATTCAAACAACAAACACTTGATGTTTGGCGTTTTATTTTATTGTGACTGCACAAAAGATTGGCAGTTAAAATTTGTTGTTAACGACTTAAGGCCAAAGCTCGAGAGCACATTTCGATAAGGCAGCCAGCTTTATACAGTATCTCATGTTGTATTTGTCTTTAGTTTTGACAGGCGACGTTCCCCCCCCCCCCCCCCCCCCCCCCCCTCACTTTTTTTTTTAACAAAAGCCTGAGGGCGCCCTGGCCGCGACAGGCGCTAGCAGAATGTCATTTTTAATTTAATTTTTATTTTCGTTGATCTCGCGGATTGTCAAGTGGATAAGATAAGTTCAGACAATTAACAAGAAGTGTTTCATAAAAAAAAAAGAAACACAAAAAGGGAAAGGCAAGGCACATAAACTGGCGCTTGCCTTTGTCACTCAGTGTGTTGGGGCCAGCTATGTGCGAGTACTCGGAGGAAACTAGTTCTAGCTTTGGCTCTATTCAAACAATCCATAATGCATAAGTATGTGGGTATATGTTCAAGCAGATCGATTTTAGGGCTGGCAAATGCGGACCATCTGTGACATTTCTATACCTATATATATAATACCTTAGCTTTAAATTTATTTCCCAAATATTATATTTGAAATAGCAATTTAACGAACCAAAAACCTAGCAGAGGTTCGCGAGCAAGCCTTCAGGCGAAACAAAGGGTTCAACTTAGAATTGAACCAGCAATTGTAAAAAAAAAGTTCAACTCTTCTTCGTTTTTGTTTAAAGCTTTAAATTACTTTGAGCGTGAAAATCTTTTTGCAAGCACAATTCTTAACCAAAACCTGGAACCTACAACTTTGAATCGAACCAGCACTGACAAAAAAAAGTTCAACTCCTAGTTTTCTGCATCTCATCGTTTTAAGCCGGAAATTTCTTTATTTTGGGTTTCTCCTAAATTGTATACAATGCGACTATCGAAGTTCTAACCAAAAGCTTAAACAGGTTCACGAGCCAGGCGAGATTTAAGGCCTGCATTGAACCAGCACAAAGTTCGACTCCTTATTTTTTAACTCGGCTTGATGCTGAAATTTCTTTATACTGTTTCTATGCAAACAAATTAAAAATTTAACCAAAAGTTAGGGCATTCTACGAACTGCCAACCGAACCTGTAGAGTTAGCTCAAGAAAGTGGCCTCATTTATCACATTTTAACCAAAATACAATTGTTCATTTCGAGCTTTAGTTGAACCAACCCTGGTCGCAACGAATGTGCGATATTTGTTGGGCTTGGTCAGCATTGTCCGTCATAAAACAAAATGCCTGCTATTAGCCATGTATCCATGGCCATGGCGTGGTCAACTCTCGGTCAACAGCCGGACAGCTGGCCAGCCCATGTGCTACAGTTAACTTGAACCCATTTACATATGTATATCCATGTACAGGGGCCACAAAGGCGAACCGCTTTAACTCTGGCTCAACGGCAAAAGATTGGTTTGAACCTTTCGAAAAGCAATGTTCTGACATTCCATTGGGCCACAGCCCAAGCAATTCATGTGCCATTTATAGGTTTTCCGACTGGCATAAATGAATATTATCAATAGTTTGTGTCTGGTGTGAATCACTACACAGATTCGTGCCCAACAGGAGCTGGGTGCTCATTAGGGCGGATTTCCCTGACACAATCATGTGAAAGATAAGATCAGCTGGCATGTTAGCTAATGCATCCGTTTCCGTAAACGGACACTGACTGACAACTCGCGATTGCCAAACAGGTGAGAGAGAGAGAGAGAGAGAGAGAGAGAGACATATTGAGAGAGGGAGAGGGGGGCAGAGGGGCTGCTCCAGTTAAGAGGTGTTAATATGCAAAGTGTAAGCTGTCTCAGCTGGCGTGACGTAGACGTGTCTACGCCCTCGTACAGCTGTCTAAGCACCCACCTTGGCGGCTAGAGTCATCATCTTTAGCATCATCATCATCATCATTATGATCATCATGAGCACTAGCTCATCGCCAAATGCACTCGGCATTACGGCGACATAGCTAAAAGCTGCCCCGCCACACGCTGCAGAACCCAACGCTGTAATCTCCAGACTCTAGTTCTGGCCAAAGTCTCTCAAGAGAGAGACGAGAGAGAGAGAGAGAGGCAGAGCGAGAGAGCGGCAGCGAGTATTTGCTCTCTTAAGCAAACGTTACTCTTTGCTGCTCTTCACAACCTGTTTTTTTAAAGCCAACTTCAAAAATACTTTTGCTTTTCATTGCCTTCAAGACGACAACGACGATTTTGTTTGGTGATTAATATGCGCTTTTCGAAAATGAAACAAACGAGTCGCCAAATGGAACAAAAGAAAAAAAAAACCAACTGCTGCAGCGAGTCGACCCAAAACATTGGCCCAGGTCACAAATTATCTGACAAATAGTCTGCCAAGCCCTCAGACTAAGCCCTAAGCCTACGCCCCAAGCCTAAACCAAATTCCTCCACAGTTTTTGGTAATGCAACTTAATTTTGACATGATATATTTAATTAAAACAAATTTTTATAAATATTTGAAATTTAATGTTTGGAATATTTTTGGATCTTTTATATTGAAAATTAAGAATATTTTGTATGCTTTTTTTTAAATAAAATATTTAAAATTTAATATTTAAAATTTTTTTAATATCATTTAAAAAAAACTTTAAATAATTTTAATACAAATTTGCTTGATTTTGATTTTTTTTAAACTATTTTTTTTGTTTAATTACATATTAATTTTTTCTGAATAAATATTTTCAACTTTTTCAATAAGATCTCCCAAACTAAATTCAAATAAATAATTTGTTACACAAACAAAAGAAACAAGCTTAAAATTACAATTAAAAACAGAATTTGAAATATTAAAAAAGCATTGTCAGGAGCAATTTTATGGAAGTTGCGCCAAGAGTTTTCTTGAAAACCTTTGAAATTTTAAATAATTTTCTATACTCGTTAAATATTTGTTTAAGACACATACTTAAGTTTTTTTAAGGAAATGTTTTCCATTTGGAATAGCATAAATATTTGCCATAGAAAATAAATATATTGTCTTAATTTTAAACATTTTTTCAAAAATATATTATATATTAAAAAATATTCTAACAAGGTAAGATAATATATATATATATATATTAATATATATTGTTACTGTAAAGAAATCATAAATCAGAACAAGAAGAAGTATTTCAATCTGTTGAAAATCGCAAGAAGCCAACAATTTTGCTCAGTGCAGCATTTTGTTTTGAGCGCAAGCGCCTAAGGTATCGAACTTTATAGTCTAGGAGAGCATACAACGATCGGATTGATTGATTCGCATATTTTTCCGGTTTTGTTTTATTTTTCGTTTTGCCATTCAAAAAAACGTACGTCGCTGAGTGGAGCGGAGTACGGCGGCCGCTCACTCATTTTTTGAGCAACTGTTTTTAAAAGTCAGTCGGTTGTTTTGTTTTTGTTTTCTTTCTTGAGTATTGAGGCTGGCTGGAAATGTATATATTTTTCCCATTAAGGTTTTTTAAAGGCGCACGCCGAGAACGGCTCAGTCTCGATTGTCAGCTTGTCGTGAATGGTTTTTTAGCACAAGAGTCGCGGCTACCCGAGTTCCACCAAACCGCGCAACTTATATTAACACACCAAGCACACCAAGCACTAGCACCTTAATAGCAACAACAACAACAACAACAACAGCAACAGCAACAATAGCAACAACATTTGCACATATTTATATACTACATAACTCGCAAGAGACGCTGCGCGCGCGTGTGTGTGTGTGTGTGTGTGTGTGTCCATCTGTGTGCGCTATTGTCGCTGGGGGAGGGGAGGCCACAGATTTGCCTTTTGCATAAATCATTTAAAGCGCGCGCGCTCCACAAAACGCTTTTCAGCTGTCGCTCGATTTGGTTCTGGTTCGACATATTCTGATATGTAGGTTAGCCAGCAAGTTCGTTGCCTAAGTCTTTCGTATCATGCTGTGACGGGAGCTTCAATTAAATTTACGTAACCTGGAACGCGCTGCGATTTTATAACAAAGACCCACCAGCACACACTCATACACACATTGACACACATGGCGCTGGCCAACTTTTCGCTGCCTTTTGGCGCACTAGCTCAGCCCTGGGGCGTGACGCTGGCCCCGCTGCATCCCATACACCAGCTGGCCAGCAATACGAACAATTTGCTCTACTCGCCGGCGGATCATCAACAGCAACAGCAACAGTCGCCGGAAGCTGGCGCTCCGGGCGCCACGGACTACTTCAAGAACAATCCCTATGGCACACCAGCGCTGCATCAGCAGCAGCAGGAGACGCCGGCACAGCCACAGCCTGGCTATCCGTACGGCAGCAGGCGCAAGCAGGGCACCGCCTACTTGCCGCCCACGGGCGCCGCTCGCAACTCTGTCTACCACATACAGCAGCAAGAGCAGCAGCAACAGCAGCAGACGGTGCAGCAGGCGCAACTGGAGACCAACGAGAACAGCGTCACGTTCCAGAGCAGCGCCGGCCAGAGCCACAGTCACAGCACAGTGCAGCTAACACAGTCCGCGGGCCGTGGTCCCGCCGAGGGCTCATACAGTCGCTATCCGGGCCAGGCGCCAGCGGCGCCCGCCCCTAAACAGCAGAAACAATACTACAATGTCCAGGGCAGCGCCAGCGCCAGCGCCAGCTTTAGCAAGAACAGCGGCAGCTTTAGTATTACCGGCTTTGGCAGCAGGCAGCAGCCACAGCCGCCGCAGCAGCAGCAGCCAAATCCACAGCTGCAGACGCAGCCGCAGCGACCGCCTCCGACATCCGCCCACACACAGCAGCGCGGCAGGCAGCCGGGCAAAACGGAGACGCCAGCGGCCACTTATGGCGTCGCGCCGCCAGATAATTATCCGGAACGCGCGCCGGGCTTTACGCGTGTCCAGGCTGGTCAGGGTTCCAGGACTCAGGTGCACGCCGTGCTCGACTACGATGTGGAGGAGGGCGAGGAGGACGAGGAAGAGGAGGAGGATGATGGCGAGTACTACGACGCCGAGGCGCAGGCTAAAGGTGCGTGTGAAATCTATATAACTGTTTTATATCTACGTACACTGAACGAAAAAATGTCTAACAATAGAAAAGTTGTTCTTGGCTTGCCAAAAAGGTTTTTTTTTGGTTTCCTTTGCAAGAGTTTAATTTATGTAAAACGCATTAATATTTGTTTAATGCTCATTTAGCTGCTATTAAAATTTGAAATGAATTATAACTACAGTGAACGCTCGCAGGCTAGAACGCTTTAGTAATACACAAGGGATTTTCAATTTTTTAAGAACTTACGAAATGTTTAAGGTACATTTTATTTTTTCTGCAAGACAATAATTAAATTAAATTATATTAAATTATATTTTTTTTATTTAAAGATTTTCTGTTTTGTTAAAAACGTAAATTTCTTGTTAGAAACATTGAATTATTTGAACTTTAAAAATTTATTATTTATATATTATATATATATTTATTTGCTAATAAAATTTAAAAATTCATTTAATATTAATAAGGAATCTTTAAATTTAATTAACAAAAATATATACATATTTCAAGAATATTTAAAAATAAATAATCTTTAAATTTAATGGGCTAATAAAAATATGTTTATTTAAAGATTATTTAAAAGTTATTAAATTATAAATGATAATAAATAATCTTTAAATTTATTGACAAAGTTTAAATAAATATTTTTGGATTATTTAATTAAATTAATTTAAAAAAATTTAATTTTATTTTACGATAGTCTTGCAGAAAAATGATTTTGTTAATAACTAAATGCCTTATAAAAATTCTAAGTTTGACCTAATACAAATACTTAAATTAATTTTTTTTTTTTAATATTTGCTTATGAGCTCTTATTTGATTTTGATTATTTCGATAATTTAAATCTATCTTTGGATTAAAGAGAATATAATCTTCTTTTCATAAAATCAGCTCTAGAAAAATTGGAATATCTTAAAAAAAAAACAAAGACTTCTTTTTCATGCTCGAAAAAAGTTTACAAAACATTCTTTAAGGAGCAATACTATATTCAGGAAATAATTGGGCATATGCAAATATTTTAATATATTAATAATATCTCAAAAAGAGGAAAATCTTCAAATATTTGTTACAAATTCGAACAAGTAAGACTGGCAAATTGTTTTGCTGTTCAAACGAGCTATCGATGTCTATGGAATGTATGTTTTGGTATTTGGCGGATGGTATTGGATCTCTCACACGATGCCCCCCGCCACCACCAACAAAATTTATGTTAATTGTTGTTGTAGCTTTACTTATGTTTGTTTTTTATTTATTTTGCGTGTGTGTGTGTGTGTTTGTGTGTTTTTTGGCTAGTTTGCTACTTCGCATAGTTGTTAGCTTGTTGTTTCTGTGTGTATCTTTCCAATTGGGAGCAACTTCTGCACATTGCTGTTAGACAACAACAACAACAACAACAGGAACAACAACAACAATAGAAAGAAGAAGCAGCAGCAGCAAATAGCTACAAGTAGACGGAGCAAGGTCAAAGGTCTACAAACCGCTCAGGCAAGGTCGCCTTGGACAGTAATGGCCAGTGTTTGACTTTTATAGCTGTCGCTGACTAACACGCACCGCGATTTATGCATCAGTTGTTATAGCTGTTTTTTATACACCTCTTCAGCAGCAACAACAACAACAACAATAACACAGATAATAGAGCTAGCGACAGTTGCTCTGTGAGACACAAAAAACTGTCAGCGCATTTGATAATTCACTTTTGCTTTTTATTTTTCTTGTTTTTTGTTTGTGCTGCGTGGCGCCTCTTTGTTTCAGCTCGGCTCATTTTGTGGCACAAACTGGCAGGTTGTTGCGGCTCAAGCTCAAGTATGACAGGCTATACATATAGAGTATGTGTGTATTATTATTATTATTATGCAAGAAGTCGGGCCCCATTCAACGGGGCCCTCGACTTGTCTTAAATGATGCCGAAGACGTGCACACGCGACGAGCACATAGGTACACACACACACACACACACACAGACATGTGCACATGCATCTATATAAGATCAAGTACATGTGTGTGCACTTGTATATACGGTCGCATTGTTCAAGATTTTGATTTTTGGCTCTTGCTGGGTTTCACCTTTGCGACGTGCGAGCAACATACAAAAAATGAAACGAGTTCAACATGTAATGTAACGGCAACAGTTGCGAAGTACAGTGAAACCCACTTAACGGCAACACAAATTCTATGCGCGCAATCCTTTCGCCAAAAAAATCCCTGCACACGTGCACACATATGCATGAAAAGGGAAAGGGAAAGTTCACGCACAGTTCACGGCTCGATACGTTTAATCAAGCTGCAAGATCCGTCTTCGGCATGGCCCCGGCATTACAAATGCCAGGCGAGTGGCTCAGTCTTTTGTTTTTTTTATTTATTTATTTTATTTTCTTATGCATTTCATATAATTTATATGTCAACTGTGCAGTGCGATTTGTATGCAGCATTGCAATTATTTACACTACTTTTATTTTCAGCAATTTATTTTATGTCTTCGGGGGGTTTTTTTTTTGCGATGCAGCAGCAAAAGCCAAACTGTCCTCGCATGACTCAGCTGCAGTTTTTAATTAACAATTTGGTATTCATTCATATATTTTGTTTAATTTTGTTTGCAGACAAGTCGAACAAGAGCCCGATGCCCAGCGTAACGCCCATACAGGGCCCCATCTTCCTGAAGAACGGCAGCGTGCCGGTCGTTCCATTGTTTTCCTATCCCAAATCAAATAATGGCTCATTTCTGCAGATTCCGGTAAGTACACCCCCATCGAAAGAAAACAAAAACGACTCCAAAACGGACACGCGCGCGTGTTTTCCAATACGTTTTGCGATTACGGCTTTGGGAACAAGCAAGTAAGTATATCGATCGAGTTTGCTCATTTGCGGAAATAACTTTGACGATCTCTGTCAGTGTGTGTGTGTGTGTGTGTGTGTGTGCTTCTCTTTATGTTGTTTTTGGCGCACGAAGGTCGCGCGAGTTCGTTTCGTCAAGAGGTGTGCTGATAATCATGCCAATCGCAGCACCAAGCGACTCTCCAATACTCTAAAAAAAAAAATAATAGCTCGCGACTCGACTGAATGATGATATTAAATGAAACCTTTAACTTGAGTCATTTAATGGGTCGAACATTCCCAATGCTAATGCCAGTTCCCCTCTCTCTCCCCCCTCTTTCTAGATCTGGTGGACGGCGCTGTCGGTGGCGCTCGGCCTGGATGTCCGGGGCGATGTGATCAAGGGCGTGCCCTGCATCAAGCGTTATCATCAGCTCTTCTGCCCGACCGCCGGCAATAGCTATCCCATGTGAGTATCTCTCGAATAACTGGCTAGTGGTTATTCTTGGCATAAATTATGATTCAGAGTCTTGATGAAATCAATTTGACATCTCATTTTGACTTGCTAATTTGAAACATTCCATTTAATTGGAATCGAGTTCAATCATTTTCAATTTTTAGTTCGTTTTTTAATTAGCTCAAGGAAACTTAAAACTGTTTAAATGCCAATAGATACAAATTGAAAAATTGTATCTTTCAAAGTTAATCATTTTTTCAGTATATAAAAAGAAGTATCTCGGTTGGATCCTTACCTATGTATCATCATTAATAGTTATCTGCTTCTAATCTATTCTATTCTAAACTATATGTATTAACTAAATCTTCTTCTTCTTGTTTAGCGATAAAATCGAGCGTTTCATAGACGACAACAAGGCGTTGATGCGCCGCATGTACGGCGACTTTGAGATGAACATGGAGGGCGGCGGGGGCGGGGGTCAGGCGAAGGTGCGCAAGCGTCGATTCATAGACGAGCCGGACATATTTATACCGCCCGGCGCCTATGCAGCGACAGCGGGCGAGGCGGGCGAGGCGGGCGACAGCTACTTCGGGGAGCTGCGCAAGAAGCGGCAGGCGGCAGCGGGCGGAGCTGGCAACAACCGGAACCGTGGAGCCGCCGGAGGAGGAGCGGGCGGCAGCAGCCGGGCTAACAATGTGCCAGGCAATGCGAACGGCAGCTCGGGCACAGGGCGACTCGATGCATGCGAGTCGAAAATAGAGATTGTGACGCCCTACTGGGCCTCGAATTCGGCGGGCAAAATACGCGCCATTGTGAACACACAGCACTTCGAGCAGGCGATACACCAGGAGGTTTGCAGGTAGCATAGCCGCATGGAGCTGCCATTTGAATAGTAACTAATCCGTAATGTATCCATTCCCCCAGCAATACGCAAACGTCGCGCTGCGAGGGCGAATGCGGCTGCGAGCAGAAATACAAATGGCATCGATTGCTGGCCTACGATCCGGACAACGATTGCAAGGGCATTTTTATGGATTGGTTCCTGTTTCCTTCGTGCTGTGTCTGCCGCTGCAATCCCTGAGCGTGTCCATGCCCAACATGAACTACGTGTAGTAGTAGTAGTAGTAGCAAAGGCGTGCGAAGGAGTTAAATAGAATGCCACTGAATGTATTTTAGTTGTTCTTAAGTAGACCCTAAACAATTTAATTACGCCTAGCTCTAGGTTCTTTTGTCTAAGTTTAAGCTTTTACACAAGCCATATCCCATCTGAACTATATCGCAATTGATCCGACTCCATTTGTTGTTGTAATTCGTAATTGTAATTGTCGTGCGATTAAAAGTGAATAAAATTAATTCAAAATCAAGCAGCGCAGACTTTTGGAATTGTTTGCAAAATGAACTGGAGACGATTTCAATTTAATGACTTCATTTAAGATTTAAACGATAAAATTGAATGAGCAAAGGTTTAATTTTTTAGATTATTTTTGTGTTGTCAAAGAACCTTGACATAATATGTGGAATAATTTCGGACTTTCAAGGATCTTGAGAGTTTATGTGGAATAATCTCTGGATTTTCCTTTAGCCGCAAGATCAAGGCTTTTGCTTTGACTCACAATCTTTGCGAGTTCTCTTTGAATGTACCTGAAAGAATTGGTTAGCTTATGCCCAGCTATATTATGCCTTGTCTATTGAGGGCTACATTTATTTTGACATTAGCTTGGAAATCGGCGCAGATATAATGCCAGCTCTGAACATTCAGGCTATTGTGGCATATAATGAAAATCCTACAATAGCATATCATATATCATATTATACCAAATCATATCAGATCTCAAATCATATCATCCAATCGTATCAGCTCGAATCATATTATACGAAATCATCTCAGCTCAAATCATATTATACGATATCATGTGATTTCATTATATCATAATGCATTCACATCACATCGCGTCAGGCCGAAATCTACTTTATATCGGGATTTTCTTAAAAAACAAACAGACAAAAGTTGTCCGGGAAACGAACCACTAAGCCGGGCTATGCTTAAAGCTAGCTAACGGCTAACACGACTCGAAAAGCTTTGGCCGGGTGACATAGCACTGAGCTTTCGTGTGAGCTGCGGGGAGCTTGCATTTGAGTTCAAGTAAGCTTTTTTTGAAGTACTTGAAATGTTGGTCCGAGTCAAGCATTTAATTTTCCCATATTATGAGTACCCGTTTTTTTTTAACTGTTTCATAAAGCGTTTATTTGACTGCGATTCATAAATAAAATAAAACATATTCACTCGCACGCAGCGTAGATACCCGCAGATGCCTTTGCGCTTCTCGTCCGGAATGGTCGTAAAAAAAAAAAGAACCCTTGGTCTTGCATTGGCCATGCCCGGCACGTATTCAATCACAGCAATGGCCACACAAAACTGCGCTATATCAAAAATTTTGGGGCTTGTAGTCGTGCGCCGTATACAAATGGTAACATTTCTCAAGCAACAACCGCAACCAGGGGAGGCAACAACAGCGTTTGCTGGCCAGTTAGTTAGTGAAGTGAAGATACATTATTGACGCCCGGCAATGTCAACATCATGCAGCCATGACGACGTCGACAACAATAAGAACGAGAGTGATATCAACAACAAATACAACAACAACAACAGCGAAAACAATTGCGAGTTAACCATGAGATTTGCTTAGCGAAAACATTTCACCAGATTCTGCCAGGCTGACGCCCACAGAACAGACAATACTTTGAAATGGCACACGTACACACACACACACACACACACACACACACACACACACACACACACACACACACACACACACACACACACACACACACACACACACACACACAACACACACACACACACACACACACACACACACACACACACACACACACACACACACACACACACACACACACACACACACACACACACACACACACACACACACACACACACACACACACACACACACACACACACACACACACACACACACACACACACACACACACACACACACACACACACACACACACACACACACACACACACACACACACACACACACACACACACACACACACACACAAACATATATATATGTATATCTATATAGCATACGTAAATACCAAGTCAATGATATGCACGCTGTTGTTGCTGCCATTGTTATACCCTGTAGAGCATTCTTGCCTCCAAAGGAGTGGTGCAAGTGAGTGAAACAATACCTGCATCAATATCAATCATTGTCAATATCAATCAATCGTGTTCTGGGGTGAAACATTATAATGCTCTCCATCAGTTTTTCTTTATATTTCAACGTTGCTTGCAGAATTTTACCCAGTCCCGTGTAAGTATGGTATATGTCTATGCCATAAAGGGTAACTACTGTGAAACCTTAAGCCTTTCAGCTTTCATAGTTTGAGCATTCCTCTGATCATTAATCAATCTTCCAGTCATTAGCCAAACAGTCAGTCAGTCAAAAGTGCATTCAGTCAGTCAATCACCTCATCAAATAATGCCTAAGCAAGTCAGCTAACCAATCAGTCAGTCAGGAAATCGTTCAATTCCTCAGTCAGTAAAAACATTCAGTCAGTGTATCTGTGAGTCAATCACTCATATAATCAATCATTCAGTCAGTCTTATCAGTCAATGTCATTTAGTCTGATTAATCAGCCAATAAATCAGTCAGCCAATCACTCAATCAGTTATGCAGTCCGACCAACTAGTCCATCAGTTAGTTAGTCAAAGGGTCTGTCAGTCAATCAATTAATTATTTAAATAAGCCTGTCAATCAGTTAGTCAAGCAATCATAAGTTCATGCAATTGACTGAGTTCGTCAATAACTCAATCAATCAGTCAGTCCATCAGTAAGTCAACCAATTAATTGGTCGTCAGTCAACCAGTCAGTCAGGCAATCAATCAATCAGTCATTCAATCAATAAGTCCATAAGTAAGTCAATCAATCAATTAATCGGCAGCCAACCAGTCAGTCAAATCAGTTAATCAAACAATCAGCCCGTCAATCAATCAGTCTGTCAGCCTGTCAATAGAAATAGATAGGGTATCTTCTAGTTGAGCACCCTCGACTCCATCTACTTGTTGTTGTCGCCTCTGCGCGCGCACATTTGTCCTTTAAACGTAATGCGAAATGTGAAAGAATTCGGCATTGGCGACTGGTCAGAGAATGTTAGACGCATACCCTAACAACCATGTTAAGTAACTCGCTCGGTTTTTGGGTGTGCGAGCAAGTGTGTGTGTGTGTGTGTGGCGCATGTGTAGGACGTCATATCCTGGCAGCAGAGCTCTGTCATCAGGGCCAAAAGTGGTACTAAAATCTCAGCCGCGGTCGCACTTTGCCTATAAATACAAATGTCTGCAAGCAGCTTGGCTTAAAGCAACATTGTTATCCTAGTACGGCACATCGTAGACGAGCGTGAGCAAAAAATATATATATATATATAAAAATAAATATTAGATAATAAAAACGCACAGGCTCGTGACGCAAAACTAATCCCAACTACAACAGCGAAAATCCTGTGCACAGTGAGTCAGCGCCTAATTGGAAATTATAAAATTGCATTCTATTCATTTTGATTATGTGCTAATAATATTTAAGCTAGCCAAACAAATGAAAAGGCAAAAATATTATGCAAAAACCCAGAGCAAGCGATGCTCAGTTTTCAAAGCCGTGAAGAGTATATTGCGTTTCTGCAGCGTTTGTCTGTTTAATTTAAAAACAAAGTGCTTAGCTACAAAATAGGCAACAAAATATTGAACAAGCAATTTTGCTCTCTTGATCAAGTAGACTCTTTGCCACCTGTCCATAAGAAATTATCGTACAGGTTAGAGAGTAACTCCCAGAGTAGCACTCATTAGAGCGTATTTCCCAGTCGAGCACTCCTACTTATTTAAGAGTATCTCCCAGTCGATCACTCCTTTTTATTTAAGAGTATTTCCCAGTCAAGCACTCCTACTAATTAGAGAGTGTATCTCCCAGCACTCCTATTTATTAGAGAGTATCTCCCAGTCAAGCAGTCTTACTAATAAGAGAGTATCTCTCAGTCGAGCACTCCTACTTATTTAAGAGTATCTCCCAGTCGAGCACTCCTACTTATTAGAGAGTATCTCCCAGTCGAGCACTCCTACTTATTAGAGAGTATCTCCCAGTCAAGCACTCCTACTAATTAGAGAGCGTATCACTCAGTCGATAGCTCCTACTTATTAGAGAGACATACTTTCCTATTTAAGCCCAACAAACAATTAAAGCAGAGTATTCTGCAGTCGGATCTTCGTTTTCGGCTGAGCTTTCACTTGTTTGCGTAGGCAAATCTTTTAAGGCTTTATTTTTAAACAAATTCACACAGCTTTTTTATACGCTTGCAGACACAAATAACAACAACAACAACAACAGAAACAACAACAGCAATTCACCTGCAGGCGCACCTGTGTCGACAACAACAACAACAAGAACGCCCACAAAATGACCATGACTGCCGCCAGGAATCAGGCTCAGGCTCAGGCTCCAGCTTTGGCAACGGCTCCCACTTTGGCCCGGTCACACAGGCTGCAATTGTCGCTGCCGCTGCCGCTGCTGCTGGCGCTGATGATGCTGCTGCTCCTGCTGGTGCCGCCGCAGCCGTGCGAGAGCCGATACCTGCCGACAAGGTCGCACGGCGACGAATTGGACAAGCTGCGCGAGCTGATGCTTCAGGTAAGCGCCTGCCCTCCGGCTCCAGCCGTAAGTGGATAGCCAGCCCGAAAGAGCATTGTTTATGTGCATTAGTGTGTGCGTATTTGCATGCCCTAACAAAGGGTATTGTAATTGTGCTGTGAGCTATGTAACAGGAGCAGAAAACCTGGAACCCATTAAGTGGGACAACTCTATAGAAGGCCAATTCTATGCATACGGACGGACGGATTGACGGACAGACAAACAGACAGACGGACGTGGATGTAGGTGCTCCTAGTGCCTGCGCAGATCGAGTTTGTTGCCGATAATCGATAGTTATCGATTGCTCCGTTTCCAAGCAATCGATAAAAACCGATATCGATATCCTGTTTTTTGCGCACTTTTGGTAAATAATAAGAGCTAGAGTTACCAAACTTTACATAAGGCCTTTAAAATGGAATATATATATGCAATTGATGTTGGAAGAAGAGGGTTCAGGGTATCCCGTAGTCGGGAGCTCCCGACTGTAGCCTCTTACTTGTTTTTTTAAATATTTATCTCAAAATATCTTACTTTATTATGCAAATGCTGCACAAGATCTTTGGCATAATCCCAAATCGGAATAATTTGTTATCCGAGTTTCTTGTTTGTCAAGATATCCCAATCAAGAGCTTAGCTAAGCTTATAAAATATTTACAAAATCTTAACAAAATGGACGACTATATTATGTAATTCCCATGAGAATCTGCCATGAATTTGAATGAGTTTTAAGCCCTATTACATACGACTACCATATCATATAGAAGTCGGTTAAAGATACACTTTCTCTGGAAAGGGCATTTAATCGTCGGCTAAGCTGTTTAATCTCGCCCTTTTGGTTTGGTCTTTTCTCTGCTCTGCTTTTTGGTGTGTTATTTTTGGCGATATAATTAACTAAATGAAAAGAGTCAAAAGCGTGGTATTAAGTTGCAATTATGTCGCCAATTATTGGGGTTTTATTTTTCAGCGTGTTTTTGTTTTGGCCAACTCAGTTGTTGCGGGTTACCCGGTTACGTCATGCGCCCAATCAATGCCAGGCCAATGGGTCTAGATGGGGTTACCAGAAAGTATAAAAAAATTAAATAAAAGAGAAGATAAAAGAAAATAATGATAAAAGCCAACGCACAGATAGCCGCCGCTCCTGACCACAAAAGTATCTTCTTTTATTTTTCGGCTGCGTCTGCAACCGTTTCACAAATATTTTACATATTTCGCAAGATGTTGTTGTTGCTGTTGCAGTTGTTGTATTTGGTCATCTTAACTGGGAACAGCAACAAGAAAAACAACAACAACAACAACAGAGCCTGCCCGGCTACAATCGCCAACCTGCTGCGCTTGGAGCTCTCATCTTTGCCAACAACCTGCACAGTTTTATATAAAAACACATTTTTTCGTCAGCTTCTTTGCTGCTTCTTCTTCTTTTTCTGTATTATTATTATTTATTTTTTTTTTTTTTGATTTTTTTGTGGGCAGTTTCCTGTTCTTTTTCGCAACCGCAGCACAAAAATGCTGCTCAACCGGGGGGCCAATTTAGTGGATGCTTCATATCATTTGCGCACACTCGATTTCTAGACGCAGCTGCAACTGCAACAACAAATGCAACTGCAACTGCAACTGCAGACTGCAGAGACTGCATCTGCAACTGTTTGGCTGAGCTTATGTGTAGCATCGACAACTGCAATCGCAGCACAATTACCAGCTAAATATGGGGTAAGCCTTGGAGCCCAAAGTGTCTGTCTATGGGCACGTCCTTGGGTCTGTCTTTGGATCTGTGCCTGCAGCTGGCTTTGGGTCTGTCGATGGAACTGTCTTTGGCTATGCCAGTGGTTGTGTCTTGCCACCTCTGTTTGCCTGGAAATCTGGCTCTAAGTCAGCATAGAGTCCATTTCGGCTTAGTCTGCGGGCTTGCCTGGTAGACTGGCTCTGAGTCATCCCAGAATTTCGCCTGGGGTTATTGCTTTCCGTCTTTGCCTTAAGCAATTCCATTTTAGATTCTTCTATGGACCTATCTCTAAGTTTCTCTATGTGTTGATCTGGATTCTGTCTATTGGTCCATCAAGTCTTCGCCTAAAAGCGTCCAAGAGAGCGTGCCTGTCTGTGGATCTTGACTCCAACTTCAAGTCCGTTCTCAGACTGTCGCACACTTTCTCTTGAGATTTGTCTGTGCATCTCTTTCTGGATTATCTATGATTCTGCTTATATATGTAAACTTTTTAGGCTTGACTCTTGATCTTATTTTGGGTCTGTCTAAAGGTTTGTCTTAGGATCTGTCTTGATTCTTGGGTTCCTTATCCAATTATGAGGTCTCTCCCATCATATGTATTTCTGGCTCTGTCTCTGTTTCTATAGCTGGGTTTGTCTCTGGTTCCATTTTGGATCTCTCTGGAGCCCATAAGTCTAACTAGGAGTTTGTTTCTTGAACTTTCTTCACTTTTAAGGGTCTAGTATTTCCGGTTGGATCTGGTTTTTATCATTTTCTTTGGGGTTTCCTCTCCCCCTCCCCTTCCCCCACCACTTTCCATCTGTCTCCCACTCTGGTGTATCTCTTTCCCTGTCGCTATCTGCGCTTTGAAGTTTGAGTTGGCGCCTGCATCCGAGTCTGAGTCATGTCAGGGCCCTTGCGAATCGATAAGCCGCTGACGTGAGACGCGCACAAAGTGATTTTGGCCAAGAGGGATAAGAGCCAAGCAACAGCAGACAACAGGCAACAGCGACGCCAGCGGCATTGGCAGCAAAATACACAAAATAAAACAAAATAAAAGTAAAAGAAAAGACAAGGAAAAAAGTCGAAATGGAATCAAATACGGCAAAACGTGAAGGGAAAATCAAATGTCAAATAGCAAAAAGCTGCTGCGGCTGCGGCTGCGGCCCCTGACGAAGGTTGACTTTGACTTTGTCGACGTCACGCAGAAAATAATATACAAAGGAAATTCCACTTGTCAGATGAGTGTAATGCATTGAACCAGCAGATCATGAGTTGGCAAACAGCTCAGCTTATGGCTAATTAGCCGCGGCCTGTCACATCCGATAAAACTTCACTTTCGTCTGGCAAGAAACTCAAAAACAATTCCCGCTCGCACTTCGTAATGAAATATTTAGCTAGCAACTTGGCTGCATGTTAATTTTGGACAGTCAATGTCAAGTTGTTGTCAAGAAGTTGTACGCAGACGAAGAAGAATTGGCCTGAAGCCAAATGTATTGCCCTCAAATTGAATATCTTAACGCTAATTAATAATTAATGCAATTAAACAAAGCATATACATATATAGACTTAAGGAGATTATTCCCAACTTTTCCTAGTCCCAAGAAAAAAAAAATATTATTAAAAATGGGCGCAAATTTAATAGATTATTTGACGTTTTCTCACTTTCAATGCCTTAAATAAATTAAATTTTTGTGCTGTCAAATATTCGCATTTATTCCTCTGCTCTTACCACAGCACGAACAAAATTGATTAGGCCCATTTCTAAAAATAAATTGACCACACACAAAAAACGCATTATAATCGAAGCAAACAGAAATTATATATAAACATCATAATAACATATTAATTTGATAAATAAAGTAAACCAAATCTAAGGTCAGACACGCGAAATAAAAGTAAAAAAAAAAAAGAGAAAAAGGGCAACAAAAACTATGCCGCGATGATTTGATGGAATTTTGCATGTTAAACAAAAAAAAAAAAACGACTTCATGGTAAATTTGATAAAATATTGAATCGAGCAATACTTTTCTGACAAATTATTTATAGCTGACCTTAGTAAAATGCGTTGTGTGTTTATTTATTTTGGCATTCGGCTGATTATTGTTATTATTATTATTATTATTTTGTGACTAGGCCATTGATAGTTAATCGTTTAGAGCAATATTTAAGGGCATTTATTTGGCAAACGTGTGCGCCGGCCATTAAGAGGAAGTGTGGCAAGCTTCCCCCAGCTGCCACACACCCCTCCCCTCACCCACCCTCCAGCTGACAACGCACCACCAAAAACAACGAGTGAAACAATGACGACAATTCCAGAGACCCTTATCCAATCACATAACTTTGCACTTAACGACGACTCTCAAATTAAATTGTCTAAATGTGAAGATGCCAGGGGCCTGGCTGTGGCAGGCGGTGGAGGGGTAGGTAGCTTGTTGGGCGGGGGGAAGCAGACCCTGCTAACCGCGATGCTGTGCGATAACAGCGTTTGTTGCTTCCTTATACGATATATCTCTAACAACGTTTAGGCCAGCTGCAATCGCTGCACTTCGCAGTTGTTATTAATAACTGAGCAGGAAAGAGAGAGGCAGAGGGAGAGGGAGAGGGCGAGAGTGAGAGGCGCAGCTCAAAAAACAATCTGTTAAATTAGCAATAATATAATTAGCTGGCGCAAAATTGTTTTAGGTTTTTCTCTCTCTCTCTTGTCTTTGGCCGATGTTCACACATCGTTCGCCAAAACAAAAGAGTTGGGGGGGCGGGGGGGTCGAGGGCGGGCGAAGAAAAGAGGTTACCGTCTGATAATTACACGACAATACCCCCCATTAACACATTTTCAGTCATCAGAGCTCACAGCCGGAGTCGCCACACACAGCCTCCAAGTGTTATATATGTATGTATATATGCATATGAATAGGGTTCATTCGATTTAATGAACCGCCAAAAACCTGTGACCATGCTTCCCACACACAACAGGCGGCTGGGCCTGTATATAGTACAGCCAAGATTTCAACAGATTTTTGAAATAGCTAACAAACTCACAAACTTCGCTCCGCTCACAATTTCAGCGATACGATGCGCTTCGCAACAATAACAACTGTGCGCTGATAATAATAATAATAATAACTGCCATATAACAACAATAACAAACAACAACAACAACAGCAACAGCAATTGTAAGCTTAACTCTTTTTGTTTGCAGATTTTGGAGTTGAGCAATGAGGATCCACAGCAACAACAACAACAACAATCACACCAAATGCGTCTGCACAATGAGGCCAACAATCCGCTGACCGCCCAGCGTGGCAGCGGCAGCAGCGGCAGCTCGAATGCCGCCTGGCTCCAGAAGCTGGGCGCCATGGGCGCACTTGACACGGAGGGCGGCTATGGGCGCTACTAAAGCCCCAAACCGCCAACAATTAAACCAAACGCGACGACCCCGATTAAAACTTACAAACAAACAAAAAAAATACAAAAATCGAAAAAAAAAAATCCAGGAATGCAAAAAAACCATTTGAAATGCCAAATTGTTCAACTAAAACGATCTGGTTCCTATTTAAGTAAGCCAGCCAAAACGAACTAGTTCCAAAAGAAGAAGTTTAGTATGCTAAAAGCGAACTGGTTCCAAATAGTTGTAATTTTTAAATTTAAAAAAAATCAAAACTGAACTGGTTTTAAATTGAAGATATTTTTAAAAGCTACCATTGTAAACAATAGCTTCAAAACATTTTAAGCGAGTAATTTTACTATCATATTGAGAACGAACTGGCTCAAAATTTAAACAATTTTAAAGTTAAGCCAATTGCAAAGTTAGTTATTTCAGTTAGTTATCAATTAAAAGCCTAATGGTTCCAAATTGAAGCTTTTTCTTGAACCAATTTTAAAGTTCATTTTATTCATGCATATTAAAAGCGAACCAGTTCAAAATTGAAACTATTTATAAATTTAACCAATTTTGAAAATAAATTAATTGAACTAAAAGTACCAGTTCCAAATTAAAGGTACTTTAATTAAAAGCTACGTTTGTCAAAAATAGTTCCACCCTATTTTGAGCTGAGTTCATTTTCGTTTGATTTTAAAAGCGAACTAGTTCAAAACATAAACTAATTTTAAGATATTTTAAATCAATTCAAAGCGAACTGGTTCCGAATTGAGATCAATTTTAAAAAGTTGCCAGAGTTCTTTTTACAATCAGCGAACTGGTTCAAAATTAAAACTAATTCCTGCAAAAAGCATATTAAGTTAATTATCAAGTAAATTTCTAAAGGAAATGTATTAAACGAAAGTCTAAACGATCGAAAGCAGAGCTTAGCACAGTCTTCAGTTTTGGATCAGTTCTTGTAGGCATTTCAGATAGTTTTGACATTCCGGAACGAAAGAAAATGACAAAAACTCAACGGTTTTAGAGCGCAAGCAAACTGAACTAAAAAGAACTAAACAGTTCCTATTAAAAGAACAATAATTTTTAAACTTTTACGATTAATCAAAATGAAAAAATCAAAAAAAAAAATATATATATATATATATGATGTATGTATACACTATATACTGTACAAGTGTGAGTTGCTGGTAATTAAAATTATATATAAAATTAAATATATATAGATATACATATATATATATATATATTTATTATTCCTGTCTACATGTTCTTTCAACTTTGTATTGTGGTTGCCAGATTCTGTTGCATGTTAACCGAGGCGAAGTAGAGTCAATTGTAAATATGTAATCCCCGTCCCTGAAAGCATAAAACTGGTGTGTTTTTAATGGGCCCCAAGGCTGGGCAAATAAATATAAATTATGAGCATATTACTACCCAACTACCACAAATTAAAATGCCGACGCTTCCATAACGCAGTTTTTCTTCTTCTTTGTTTGTTTTTTCTGCTTGTTTTGTTTTTGGGATCTCTGTGCGTAGTTTTGGGGTCTGGGGCCTGGCCTCCAAGCGGCACAAGTTACAAGTTCAGCGACGAATGCTTTTCCATTTAATGGCGCTATATACCTTAAACTTATATATACCAAATATATATATATATCTATATAGAGATATATGTGCTTGATGCAGCCCCGTTTAAATGCGCTACAAATGTACATTTAATTGTTAACTTAATCGTTGTTTACCTTATGATCGAAAACAATAAAAGAAAAAACCATTTTCAATGCAATCTGCTGGCGCGGGTCTCTTCTGCTTTTTAATTAGATCTTTAACTGCTGATATATAGAGGGGAGAGGGGAAGAGGGTTGGCGGCGTAAATCTCTTATGCAATGCATCATTTTTACATCATCTCTGCACACGCATGCATCTGTATCCGTATCTGAGAGATACGCTAGCTAGCAGATACTTTTACGCAGCACGTCTCAAATGCCTGCAACTGGCGTAAAACTCAATTTACTTTCTTTGGCGATGTCTTCAAGTGCAACTCTTGACAAATTAAAACTAACAAGTGGCGATTGCCATCCAGCCCCCAAAATAAGACAACGACTCGCATCACAGCCGTGCCCATCAGTTACAGATACAGATACAGATACTCCGCATCTGACTGTCTGTCTGTCGACCTTTACAAGTGCCCACGCTCTTAAACGGTTCCAGCTCCAAAGTTCCGTTTGCCTGTCGCTAAATTTCTGTTTTCGTTTTTGTAAACGCATTTTAATTGTTTTTTATGTAAAAACAATATTATTTAAATGGTTTTTTTTTGTCTTCATTCATTTTGGTTTTTTGTCTTATTTCATTTCTATATATATATATATATATATATATATATGTATATCTTTTTTGTTACATAAAGCCCAAAAAGATACTTAATAATAATTAGTATGTGTGCATGGCAAGGTGTCGATGGAAATGATGATGGCGCATACGTGTGTAATGGAGAAAGCAGAAAGATTAAAGATGAAATATGGTTTTGCCAGATGGTGCACAGTTCAGAATCATGGGGCTTGACACCATGTAAACAAAATTTCGGTAATGCGCTTAGAGAGAGTTAGATATAGATATAGATATAGATATAGATTATATAGATATAGATATAGATATAGATATAGAGATATAGATATATAGATATAGATATAGATATAGATATAGATATAGATATAGATATAGATATAGATATAGATATAGATCTCGATTATAGATATAGATATCGATATAGCTATAGATATAGATATGATATAGATATAGATATAGATATCGATATAGATATAATAGATATAGATATCGCTATCGGATATAGATATAGATATAGCTAGATAGCTATAGATTAGATATCGATATAGATATAGATATAGATATAGATATAGATAGATATAGATATAGATATAGATATAGATATAGATAGATATAGATATAGATATAGATAGATATAGATAGAGATAGAGATATAGATATAGATATAGATATAGATATAGATATAGATATAGATATAGATATAGATTAGATATAGATATAGATATAGATATAGATTATAGATATAGATATAGATATAGATATAGATATAGATATAGATATAGATATAGATATAGATATAGATATAGATATAGATATAGAAATAGATATAGATATAGATATAGATATAGATATAGATAGATATAGATATAGATATAGATAGATATAGATATAGATATAGATATAGATATAGATATAGATATAGATATAGATATAGATATAGATATAGATATAGATATAGATATAGATATAGATATAGATATAGATATATAGATATAGATATAGATATAGATATAGATATAGATATAGATATAGATATATATATAGATATAGATATAGATATAGATATAGATATAGATATAGATATAGATATAGATATAGATATAGATATAGATATAGATATAGATATAGATATAGATATAGATATAGATATAGATATAGATATAGATATAGATATAGATATAGATATAGATATAGATATAGATATAGATAGAGATATAGCTCTCGCTCTCGCTCTCGCTCTCGCTCTCGCTCTCGCTCTCGCTCTCGCTCTAGCTCTCGCTCTCGCTCTCGCTCTCGCTCTCGCTCTCGCTCTCGCTCTCGCTCTCGCTCTCGCTCTCGCTCTCGCTCTCGCTCTCGCTCTCACTCTCGCTCTCGCTCTCGCTCTCGCTCTCGCTCTCGCTCTCGCTCTCGCTCTCGCTCTCGCTCTCGCTCGCTCTCGCTCTCGCTCTCGCTCTCGCTCTCGCTCTCGCTCTCGCTCTCGCTCTCGCTCTCGCTCTCGCTCTCGCTCTCGCCTCTCGCTCTCGCTCTCGCTCTCGCTCTCGCTCTCGCCTTCTCGCTCTCGCTCTCGCTCTCGATCTCGCTCTCGCTCTCGCTCTCGCTCTCGCTCTCGCTCTCGCTCTCGCTCTCGCTCTCGCTCTCGCTCTCGCTCTCGCTTTCGCTCTCGCTCTCGCTCTCGCTCTCGCTCTAGCTCTCGCTCTCGCTCTCGCTCTCCTCTCGCTCTCGCTCTCGCTCTCGCTCTCGCTCTCGCTCTCGATATAGATATAGATATAGATATAGATATAGATATAGATATAGATATAGATATAGATATAGATATAGATATAGATATAGATATAGATATAGCTATATATAGATAGATAGCTATAGATATAGATATAGATATAGATATAGAATATAGATATAGATATAGATATAGATATAGATATAGATATAGATATAGATATAGATATAGATATAGATATAGATATAGATATAGATATAGATATAGATATAGATATAGATATAGATATAGATATAGATACCGCTCTCGCTCTCGCTCAGTCGTCTTTTCCCTGTCCCACTTCGCTGCGCGTCTCCTCTTCCCCTCCCGCTCTCCCTTTTCTCCTTTCTCTTCCCTTTTTCGCCGCCCCCCACCTCCCTCGGCGCCTCTTTTTCCGCCCTGTTACGTCCTGTCCCCCTGTCCTTCCTTTGCTGCTCTTCTCCTCTCTCCTCCTTGTACACCGCTTGCATCTGCATGCCAAGAATCTGCATCTGAAACTAAACCTGTCACTAATTTGAATATCGACTTGTTGCTTAATCGTATTCGATTTTTTCATTGTGCTGCTTGTGGCTTGAGCCTGCACCTGTTTCAGACACGCAGACAACAGATGCCCAGCAGCAATCATCGTTCCGAGATGCAGATGAAGAGGATGATGACGATGATGCGGCGAGAGATGTGCGAGATGTGAGAGATGAGCGCGCCTTGGAAATTGAGGAAATGCGGCGCGAGCCGCAGATGAACAACAAAATCAACAGCCGAAAAACGAAAAAACATGGGAAAACATTTGCCATTTGGCTAACGGCATTATAAATGATGCCGTTGTGGAAAAATGACAGTTGGCGTTGTGTGTGTGTGTGTGTGTGTGTGTGTGTTGATGCAGTTCCAGTTGCAGTGCCCGACACCAGTTGCAGTTGGCAAGTTCCAGTTGCAGGTATCGTCGCCTCATCGTCCTCATCGTTGGCTCTTGCCAATGATTATGCCGTTTCATCAAATTCCGGCAGCACAGAAAGGTGGGCAGAGTTTCAACAGCAGCAGACGCAATAAAATATACCCCCCTTCCCCACTCCCACTCCCTACTCCCCCTGCTACATTTGGCTCCCTCTAGGAGTGGCAAAATGGCTCAGGATTCGATCCATTGGCATTTATTGATTATGCGCATATCAATTTTGGCAACACCTCGGGCCAAAGCGACTGTCAGAAGCCAGTTAAAACGCAGCGATCAGATTGCCCGATCGTGACATGGCCAAAAGAAAAGTCGCCAATAAAGAAAAACAAAAGAGAGAGAAAAAAAATGTGTACAATAAACAAACAATGTAACTTTTTATGCGGCTAATCATATTTCTGGCTATTGAGGAAAATACGAGTACAAATAATGTCATTGCCGGGCAACAAACGATGCCCCGAAATTATTGAATAAGCCAAAAAAAAAAAGAAGAAAAATAAAAGTAAATTAAAGAAATTCATAGTCAACTATTGCATTATGGCCGAAAAATGGAAATGAAGATGGAGCTGATGATGGTGATGGTATCCCAACAAGACCGTGAAGCTCATTATTAGCATTGCGCAGATGGAAGAGGGGGCTGGCGAGGGGGAGAGGGTGAGCAAACGAGACGTAAGACATGAAGAAATGTGAAATAAGACCAAGCAACAAACCAAGTCCAGTTCCAGTTGAGTCCAGATCAGAGCCCCCCCCCCGTCAACCCCCATTTGAACAGTGTGTGAATCCACATTCATTGAAATTGAAAGTGAATCGTGCCACACGATCCGAGCAGGCAACGATGATGCGATCCTCAAAGCCGAAATGATCAAAATAATAATGTAACAAATACAAAAACAGGCCACAAATACCACAAACAGAAGAAATGAAACCAAGAAGTAACGCATAAGCTCTACTATCAACACGTAGACTTATGAATACCCTATCTGTGCCAGTTTAGGCTTTGCCAATACGATTTGGCTTTATATTAGATATATATTCTGTAGGTGCACTAAATGAAGAATCTTTCAAATTCTGTCGATTCCTTCAAAATTAGTTGCTTTAAAGTAGGTCAAAATATGCTCTATAGAGGTGAGGTATATAACACTTAATATTCTCTTTAGTTTTTGCCTAGCAATATGCTTTAAAGTTCTCTTGATCTTCAGAAATATATATTTACTTTAAAGGTTAAATTTTAGAGTTATTTTGGGTACAACAAGAATTACAAGAATTCAATTGACAAGCTTAACTAAATTTCAGAATTTTCAAAGATTTGCCAAAAGCTTGCCAAAAATTTCTCTACTTTTCCTAAGAGTTTTAAAAAGTTATTAAAAACTTAATTGTTGCCTGAAAAAATTCAATTGATAGCTCCAACTAACAATGCTCAATATAAACGAATATATTTTCTGGATCATTTTAGCAAAGTTTTCTACTGCTTTTCCCTGCATTGACTCAAAAGCTTGAGAATTCATCGATTGATCCATTTCAATATTATGATTAATATGATTATATATATGAATCAGATGCAGATGCTAACCAATTATAGCTGACCTAATTTACGCACCTAATAACCAATTCAATTGCCAGACATTTTATCTGTTAGCAAGTAGATACCTGAGTTGAGGGTATTAAATCAGTTAAAATTAAAAAGGAAAACCGCAAACTAAGAAACGGTCAGCAGCAAACACGCTGCCGCTGCCGCTGTCGCTGCTGCTGCTAATGCTGCTGCTGATAATGCTGCTGTTGCAGTCGCAGTCGCAGTCGGCGTCACAGTCGCAGCTAGGAGCGGCGGCAGCTGCAGCGCAAGCTTCAGTTTCCCGCAGGCCCAGATGACTTGCCAGCTGCTGCTGCTGCTGCTCTTGTTGTTGTTGTTGCTTTTGATATTTTTGCTGTGGCTGAGCTGCGGCTGCGGCTGCGGCTGCTGCTGCGGCTGCTGCTCATGTTGTTGTTGTTGTCATTTCTGCTGTGCTTGTTGTTGTTGTTTTTGATATTTTTGCTGCTGCTGCTGCCTCTCTTGTTGTTGTTGTTGTTGTTGTTGTAATTTCTGCTTTGCTTGTTGTTGTTGGCGCCGTTTTATTCATTTCAATTTCTTCATGGTTATGCGCTCTTGCCAACTGGTGCGACTGCGACTGCTGCTGGCGTCGCTGCCGACGTCGTCGTCGCTGTCTTGATTTTTACTTAATGTTTATTTCTCGCCACGGAGCGGCACTATAAAAGCAACTGCAACAATCGTTGGGGCATGCAGTCAGTGTAAGAGGTTCCGCGTCGAACAAGCTCCAGCGAATTAAACAAGTCTCGAAATTCCATTTAAAACGGATATTCACACGATCTTCACAGTCGCACACTATCCATTAAGCACTATGCAGCCCAGTTGTGTGGTATGTCAACGCGTGTGTGTGTGTGTGTGTGTGTGTGCTCTAAGCTGATCTCAACTCTTTTTCGCATCTGTTCTATGTTTCCATGTGCTGCAGTTAGTGGTCATCTTGGCCAGCGCAGCGCTTGTGGCCGCTCGCCCGGAGCCGCCGCGTGACACGTACAGCGCCCCGCCGTCGAGCAGCTATCAGCCGAGCGGCCCCAGCGGCGGCTATGGCGCACCCGCGCCACAGTATGGTCCGCCACAGCAGCCGCCGGTGGTGCACAAGCATGTCTATGTCCATGTGCCCCCACCAGAGCCAGAGTACCAGGCGCCCAGGTGAGTAGTGCAAGGCAGTGCAAAAAAAAAACATAAGCTACGAGAATCCTTAACAAGAAAGTAGGACAAGGATTTACTCGTCTCAGTGGGTTGCGAAAGTTGAGATCTATTAAAAAATATTTTCTCAAGTGAAATCTACAACTTTTTAAGAAAAATTTCAATATTTCTCTGCGTCTTTCTTTTAGCGCTCCTTGAAATGTTAGGTTAAGAGCAGAGTACCAGGCGCCCAGGGCAATTCTCTAAAGCAAATTAGTTAAACTTCGGTTAGTTACAAGTATCCTTAACAAGAAAGTGGGACAAGGATTTACTGAACTCCCAATACAATTAGTTGGATTATATTTGATTAGGTTTACTTTAATATTTTCTATTTTTATTTGTCTGCGAATTTTTGTTATCTTTAAATGCAAGTTAATTTTAGAAACTCCTCCAAACTCAAGATGAGGTTTTTGAAGAATTTTTACCCATATACAAAAAAAAAATAATTTTTATTGGGTAGAAAATAATACACATAGCTAGATACTTTCAACATGAGCTGAGTATATGTTTTTTTTAATATTATCCTTTGTGGTGAATTTAATTAATAATATATGGCATATTGTTAAAAAACCGTTTCTTTAAGTGTTGCAAAATGTTGCAATAGCTCTGAAATTTTTAAACTACATAAAAAGCAGCTAGATACTTCAAGTTCGACTGTATTCTCTGGCCAACTTCAGCTGCAAACATTTTATTTCTATTGAAATGCTCATAAAAAAATCGAATAATTGTATGCTAGGTTTCACGCTAAATAAGTTTTGAGTGTTGGAAAATGTGGCATACAATTTTGAAATTAAAGAAAAAGCGCGTAGATCCTTGGACTTCAATTTTTTTGATATTTAAAATAGATTTTCGCATATTTCTTGATAATAAGTATATTTCTTAGATACTATGTGAGAATACGAAAATTTCTTAGCTTTATTGCTAATGATTTTTTTTTGTATTTTCTCACAATATGATTTTAAGTACTTCCCGGACTATACATATATGTCCGATCTTACAAAGGAAACCGGACAGAGGTAGAAAAAAGAACATATAGTTATAGTCCGGATAAGTATTTATATCTAGAGAGTTCTTCAGATTTCAGGATCTTTCATCATTAATTATGTGCATTTCCCGCTTTATATTTGCAAATTTATTCTGCAGCACATTTAAATAGATTCTCTCATTCACATTATAGTTCATTTAAGCACATTTTCAATCAACCTTCAAGTTTTCGAAAAAAAACTTAGGATATGGCATCTTTCCCAGCAGTATATTTTCCCTAAATTTTGAGTATTTTTCAGAATTTATTTCCCATCATTTTTGATTATCTGTGCACTTTATTTGAATAGTTTTCCCCGTTTTATTGCCCACGACAGTTTGGGCCTAGTTCCAACTTCAATCAAGCCAAGTTTTCGACAGTTTTACAAATTGTGGATGCCAGTTGATTCCCACAAACGGGCCAAGTTGTTTGTTTATGCTGATACCGCGATTACACGTAATTGCAAAATGATCTGTCGTGTGTAGATACAGTTATGATTGTGTCTGTATATGCACTGGCAGATCTATGTAAGCTTGTGCAGATATATGTAAGCTGTGCCAGACAATTATGAAAATTCTCCCACAACTCATGGACTGTGTCGCCAGACACAGACAGCTGTAACTAAGTGCTTTAGTACTTAGTTTAATATCTGACTTGGCATCTACAAGAGTTAAGAGTTGCAAGACATGTACGTAAATCATCTAATCCAGCTCAGGGCCCCACCCTCCCCCCCTCCACTCCACTCCACTCCCGCACTCCACAACGATTGCCAAATGGAGGTTTTTTGTTTTTTGCTTTTTGCATTATCATTTCGTGAAGGGAGTACCGGGTTTTAATTTAAATGTTTTTCCATGTGCCACATTTTGTCTGTTACAAGGAAAAATTATTTAATACAACCCATTAAAACGGGGCCCAAAAGCGTAACTATTCCCCCTCCCCCCACTCGATCACCCTGCTGCTTGTCACTACCTTCTGTTAATTACCGGGGGAAGAGATTTGGTGATGAAGACAGCCAAAGCGTGACTAAGATGTTACCTAAGCCGCGTTTTACTTCTGCTGCATTATTCGTAGCATTGCCAAGCTAATTATTGCATTCGGGAAGGGGACTAGGGAGGGGCCAGGAGGAGCACAATTACCATAGAGAGTAGACCAATTTATGTAAGTGCCCAGCCGGGCCGGCCAGAGCTGTGGGCGGCAATTGTGACAGCTTGTTATTGGCCAGATAAACAAGTTTTGGTTAATGATTATTTTTATTTTCATCAGCTGCTCGCTCTTTATATCTATTTTTTTGTGGGTCGATCATTTTGCCTAGACAAAGCTTACGTAAATGGAAACCCTTCTCCTTTCTCCCACACAGAAAACCTCTGTATGTGCCGCCGCCGCAGAAGCATTACAAGATCGTGTTCATCAAGGCGCCATCGCCGCCGGCACCGACTGCCCCGATCATTCCACAGTTCCCGCAGAACGAGGAGAAGACCTTGGTCTATGTGCTAGTCAAGAAGCCCGAGGAGCAGCCAGATATTGTTATACCGACGCCGGCGCCCACGCAGCCCAGCAAGCCCGAGGTCTACTTCATTCGCTACAAGACCCAGAAGGAGGAGACTGGTCCCTATCCGAACAGCATTGCCCCGCCCTCGGAATATGGTGCGCCCGCCGCACCGCCAGCCCCCTCGGCGCCCAGCAGCTCCTATGGCGCACCCTCTCACTAGATGCAGTTCATCCTGCAACCAATCCAATCTCATGGTTATATACACTCACTTTCTGGTTTTTGTTTTTTTTAATGTCAAAAAAAAAATCAACTTAACGTGTGACAAAGTTTACGATCAACGAACATGCCCATTTATCATATACCCCTCGTACCCCTCGTACCCCTCGTCATTGTTGTTGTTTCTTATGTAATTTTTACCTCTAAACATTCTCCGCATAGGCTGTTTGTTTCAAATTGTTTGCCTAATCTTAAGTGTATACTTAGTTCTTTAAGCACATGCGTTATATATACGACGATTATCTTGACACTTTCGACTAGCCGTAACTATCAGATACATACGATATATAGACACGATATATATACGATATATACACGATATACATACGATATGCATGCATTTTGACTAGGCGAATATTGTCTACAAATATTTCAGTAATTTGTTGTTGTTGAGCCCGAAGAAGATAATGCGAAAATGAAAAAAAAGAATGATACTCAAATTTATTATTGCATATGTATAAAAGTATGGATAAAGCGAAATAAAAGTTTAACAAACTCTCAGAAAACTGCATCGAATTATTTATTATGATCAATTATTGAATTATTTGTGAATATTTTGTGCATTAAAGAAGTTTTTTCATTCATTCTGTAGATATCCTTAAGGATTGACGGATTGAAAGAATGACGGATTGACGAGCCGAATCGACAGATTGGCGAATTAACAGATTGACAGATTGAATAATTAACAAATTGACAGATTGAGAGATTGACAGATTCACAGATTAAGGTATAACCGGATTGAAGGACTGCCAGATTGATGTATTGATGGATTGGCAGATTGGCAGCTTGGTAAATTGATGAATTTACATATTAAAAGATTTACGCTATGATGGATTGACAGTTGGGCGTACTGCTGGATGGACAGATTGGCGTAATGATGGATTGACAGAAATATGTATTGGCATAATTACGGACATTTTAACAAATTGAAAGATCAGCGAATGGACATATTGACTGACTGACAAATTACCAGATTGGCAGTTTGGCATATTGACAGATCGATTGATTGAAAGATTGACAGATTGACAAATCTATAGACTATCCATATTAACAAATTGACGAACTGGCACTCGACGTACTTAGGCATTAATTTCTGTTCTGTCAACTGTAGTTTTGAATTTCTGCAAAACAGAGTTGCCACATTATGCAAATAGTAACGGAATTTTCAGAGCATTGCCAGCAGCGCATAAGAGTTGTTACAAAGTCACTAAGCTTCACTAAGCTTCACATTCTTAACTTTAAGCTAAAATCAAACCAGAAATAAACAAGAACAATTATTGAATATAATATCCAAATGCGTAGCCCTTAAAACTAAAATGTATTTAGTTCTTAGGTAAACAAATATTTGTTTAGCCTCCCCCCTCCATCCAAATGGTAAACATTTGCTCGCACAGTTAAGAGCTTACTTCAACTTGCAATTTTAATTGAGACATTGTCAGCACACTTTTAACTGCTTTAGCCTGCTCCTGTCTCTGTGCATATACACGTATCCTGTTCAAAGTCCAACCGAATACATCCATAGATGCTTTCAAACACACACACACACACACACCCAACGACTACTACTCGGCCTGTCAAATGTAAGCGAACTTAAAACACATCGTTTGCATTTTGACTCTCCCCCCCCCCCCCCCCCCCCCCCCCCTCGACGGACCCCTCAATCCACTTCTGTGCCTGGCAAACACTTAAGTGACGCTTCAGCTCCTCAACTATCAGCGTGAGTGTCTGTGTGCGTGCTTTCTGCTCCTCTTTTGTTGTTTTCCATGTTTTTTTTTTGTTGTTTTTTTACAATATAAACATCATTTGCGTTGTTCCTTTTGTTTTAGCCTCGCTGATTTTGTTTACCTGTGCCTGGCTAACGGCACTTATTCAAAAGAGAGCGAGCGAGCCGCCTGCATTCTCTTAACGCCCAAAAGCGAAAGTCGTCCAACCCCAAACGCCGAGCCACAGCATTGCCAGCTGCAAGCGACAAGTGCCAAGCGCGCTCTCTCTCTCTCTCTCTCTCTCACGCTCTCTCAGTCTGTTCTGTCGCGCAAGCGCCGCGTGCCAGCATAAAGAGCAGCGGCAGCACTTGCCAAGCATTAAAGCGCCGTCCTGTGTTCAGTTGCGATTGTAATGCCAACGCAGACGGACATGCGGCTGGCGTTCGCGTCGCGAGTTGTGTGTGTTACTCATGAAATGAGAATGTATTTTCGTTAGAGACGGAGCTAAAAGAATCAAGCTTAAATAAATCATGTATATCAAAATCGAAGAAGCCAAAGCGTTGCAGCCAAAGATGAAATCAACAACCAGAAATTGCCAGTCATAAAAAAAGGGTTTGTGTGCGCGCTCTGTCTGTGTGTGTGTGTGTGTGTGCGGTGTGTGCGGTGTGTGCTTGTGTGCCGTGTATGTGTGTGCGCTGTGTGTGTATGTGTGTTGGTGTTGTGCTAATATTGTTGCCTATACAATGCCATGGCATTCTTTAACCCCCCCCCCCCCCCCCCCTCCCACTACGACCCCCCGCACGACTGTTGTTGTTGCGTACAATTAGAAGGCATTGCCAATCGATTTGTGTGAAAAGCCAAAAGCTCAAAAGGTGGAACGCCTAAAGAAGTTAGTGGCAGGTGCGCGACGTCTGAAAAATGAAGTTGAAGTTGACGTTAACGTTAACGTCAACTTGCCAGTCATTCCACAATAGGGAACGTGCCACCAAAAGGGACACAATATTAATGAAAAGATGTTGCAAAAAATGTCACGTTCCTTATTTGAATCCGCATCACGATGATAATCAAGGTGCTTCCCCCAACCCCAAGTCGACATGTCTAGAAGACAATCCCTGACTTAAAGTAAAGCCAAATTAAGAAAAAAACAACTCAACTTAAACTGAAAGAAATCTCAATAAACTTTGAAGAGTACTTTTTTTAATAAGCCTAAAGAAAAGTAAAAATTGCATTCTTTAAATAAAAAAAATACAAAGAAATGTATCTAAATTTGAATTTAGTTGGAGCACAGAATATGGCTAGCTCCTAAGTAATATTATCCCTTAAATAAATAATCATAAATACAAAAATATTAATTTAAATTAAAGAATTAAGAAAATATACCAAAAATTCGTACCTTAAAGCAAAATCTGTATTAGCGAAAAGTTATAGAACTATATATATGATATATTCCTTAATTGAATCAAGATGATATGATAACATATTCCAGAACTTAGGGACGAGAACTTTTCTTAACAAAGTCAGAGTTCTTAGCTTCAAAAATATCGCACATAAATGTCACAAAAAACCCTTAACAGAATAAGCTTTATTGGTAATAGAAACTTATTCCCAAAATTATATAGCTCAAGCGAAATTGTCACGTTTTCATTGTTTTGATAGCCCCCATCTTATCCTGCAGTACTATAAAAGTGTGGCCCATTTTAAAAGAAAAGCTCTTAAATTTCGACAAATTTCCAACAACTCGCAAGTCATAAAATCCCAACTCAACTCCATGATAAAGCCAAATACTTGATATAATTGTAAATAAACATAAAATAAAGAAAAACTCCTTACTTAATGCTGCTTTCGGCAGGGGAAATTTCAGTGAAATAAAAACCAAAGCACCGTAAATAGATAAAATATGGCTCGCCTCGCAAGCTGGACGATGCTACAAGTGAATAAAAACCCAGACCGGAAAACTCTGTGAAACATGAGTGCGAGTGTGCGAGTGTGCGATAGTGTGCGAGTGTGCGATAGTGTGCGAGTGTCTGTGAAGCATATGCCCAATAAACAGATGCCCATAACCGTAAAGGGAAAGTGTTATGTCCATTTACCATAGAGGACGCGTTGTCCCTTTTTGGCCCGAAAAATCAGAATTTATGACAGCAGCCGAGCAGCTTATATATATGGCCAGCTCGATGGATCCTTATTAACTCGCTGCGCTTCTCTTTCGTCTGCTCCGTTTATGTCTTGCCCTCCTGAAGGAAACCCAAGTGCTTCCGCAAAACGTACCAGAAACCAGAATCTTCCATTGCCATGGAAACCGAGAACCGTGGACGACATTCAACCGCAGCCATGAACAATGCCATTCCGCGGAATGGCGGCTTCTGTGGTGCACTGCAGCGTGCGCCGCCGGCAATGCCGCCGGGCCTGGCGCGACGGCTCGCCAGCCGGGAATGCTATGGCGTTGGCAAGGTCAAAGTCATGCTGCGCGTCGCCGACAGGGCGGACAGCGCCAACGAGCCCGACTTCATGTCGCTGGACAAGAAGAAACGGCAGGTGACACTGACCGATCCAAAGAACGTCTGTGCACCTCAGGCCCAGGAGCGAGCGCCCATGGTGGCAGCGCCCAAGATGTTTGCATTCGATAATTTATTTACCGCCGAGGATAAACAGGTGAGTCAAGGATATATAGACTATAACTGTTCTGAAAGAACCCAAATTGGAGAGCTGAAATAAGCCTAGAAGACTTCCTATACAAGCTACTTGAGGCTAACACCTGCTGATTCCGATACAAAATATAGGTGTAAGCTATAAAAGAAGAAGTTGCAAGAAGTTGTTTCGAGTTCAACATCAGCTAATGAAGAGTTAAGCATAGCTTACTTAACTCTATCTTAAATCTTATAAAATGCTAATATTGGAGTTCAAAATAGACTGAAAATGCTTTACGCTTTATCAAACACATTTCAATTAAAGGAATTCTCTTTCCAACTTAGCATAACATAAACAAAGTTCATATATTAAAACCATTTTAAGGAAGGCTCTAAACTTTCTTTAAGATTTGTATTATTAAATATACAATTATTTCCGAGTGATTGACTGATTGACTTGGGATCAACATCTCAAAACGCAGTCATTATAAAATCTTCCATGCACTGCCCAATATAAACCTGCTCAGTATCTGTTCAAATAAAACTAATGTTCGGGATTAACTAAATACGGACTGATTGACTCACTGATTGACTGTCTGATTGACTGACTGACTGACTTGTATACAGCAGCTCAATTTGATAGAGAACAGAAGAGAGAACTTGAAAATTTTCCATTTACAAGGTTGACAAATTTCTAGAAACAACTGATTGAAACTTTTGTGATTAAGCCCTGATCGGCTTTAAGCTCCATTTCAATCAAGCTTCCGTTAAAGAGTTTGATGAATTATGGAACAGTTTCTTAAAAGAGATAATATTATATCTAGCATACATATAACATATAATACAAAGCTCATCCTCTAGATCCGAAATAGGTCGACTGGATAGTTGCACATTTCTTTCTCATTCTATTCCAATATATAATAGTTCAATTCCAATATATATAAACTGATTTGATACATATTTTCTAAACCTATTTTGATAGAGCCAGGCATACTTTTGTATGCCCAGATATCGAATAAAGATAACCCATATCTATCTAACCCATTCCTTTCTCGATCCGATCAGAAGCTTGATCCCCCCAGCTGGATAAATATTAACAAATAGAAAGGTCGCCAAAACCAGCTTTAGACAATATCTATTATATCATATAGTTATCCAAGTTCTGTGGCCTTTCTCTATCAAGTCGAGAATACCTTATTCGGCTTCTGTCTCTCATTTTCTATACTCCTACTGATGGGAAGAGTCTTGGTCACTTTGCCTGATATAAAATAGGGACAAACAGGCTGAATAGCTATGCATCTCTCTTCCAGTCGGACGTCTGTGCGGCGGCCTTAAGCGAAGTAATACCCGCCGTGCTGGAGGGCTCCGATGGCTGTCTGCTGGCCATGGGCTATCCGGGCACGGGCCAAACACAGACGGTGCTGGGCGAGCTGGGAGCTGGAGCTCTGGGCGCAGCGGCCTGTGCCATTGCCTGGCTGTACAAGGGCATACAGGAGCGACGACAGAAGAGCGGTGCCCGCTTCTCGGTCCGGGTTAGCGCTGTGGGCGTGAATGCGACCAAACCGGATGCTCTCTCCACGGATTTGCTCATCTCGCATGCGGCTGGTAAGCATGAAGGAAGCACGACAGGACGCCACCTGTTAGCTGGGAGTTTGGTGATAAAAAATGGGCGTGGGCATTATAATGTTGCCCCTGGGCCAGCTGATGATAATGTCGGGCAGGGTTCGCAACCCCCCAATTTGAATAAAGTTAACCTGTGAGGCATGCCCCACGCCCTTTCTACTGCCCGACACCAATGACTGCTAACAACATGGAGTGTGGCATTTATACGCACATAAAAGCTAATGCCCTTTTCATTCACTCCATGACTCCAATACAGAATCTGACGACTCCCCGGGGATTTATTTGCGTGACGACTTCCTTGGCGGCCCAACGGAACTACGTGCACCCACCGCCGAACGTGCGGCATTATTTCTCGACTCCGCGCTGGCCGGACGCTTAAAAAGTTCCGGTCCCGGTCCCGGCGCCAATTCCGGCAGCTCCAGCTGCAATTCAAACTCGACACAAGCAACGCTGGAGTCGGCCCTCATCTTCACGCTGCACGTCTACCAGTACAGCCTGTCCCGCAAGGGAGGTGGTAAGTCCTAGCTCTCCCCCACAACCTCCTCCCCCCACTCTCAATTCCAGTTGTAGCTGTCGTTGTCGTTATTGTTGTTGTTGTTGTTGTTGCTGCCACTCAAGTGGCCCGCTAAATGTTTCACTAGACGCCAGGCCATTAAAGTGTCGCATTTCTTTCTCACCCAAACCCAAACCCAAACCCAACCCCACAACCCACCCATCTATCCATCCTCCCTCCTTTCAGTTGCTGGCGGTCGCAGCCGTTTACATATCATCGACTTGGGCGGCTGTGCGAATCGCAGCGGTGGTCTGCCACTCTCGGGAATTGGCAACATACTGTTGGCCATATTGAGCGGGCAGAGGCATCCGCCGCACAAGGACCACCCGCTGACGCCGTTGCTAAAGGACTGCCTGGCACCCATCACCTGCCATGTGGCAATTGTCGCACATGTCCTGCACGCCCAATGCTACCAGGACGCCCTGTCCACCATACAGATTGCCTCGCGCATTCATCGCCTGCGTCGACGCAAGCATCGCGCCATGCCCATGCCCCTGGCTGTGGGCCTGGCCCAGAGCCTGGCTATCGGCGGCGGCGGCGGTGGCTCCTCCGCTGGCTCCGGCGCCGATCCATCCAGCTCGGAGATTTCAGCGGACACTGTCATCTATATGGGACCCCACGATGATGCCACCGACGGCGAACATCCACCCGTTTATCTGCCCTCGCTCAGCCTGAACACCACGGACAATCGCGGCCTGCTCGGCAAGCCAACAGCTCAACCTAAATCAAACTGTGCCAGTCCGCTGATGAAGAAGGCCGCCATCGAGAAGGGTAAGTGTCCGGGCTCTGTCAACCCCTCATGCGGCTGAGTGCTAAGCAGCAATTGACAGGCTTTACTTATGAGATTTTAATTGAAATTCCTCGAGTCATTAGATTTGTACCCTAGAGACAGTCTACTAGATTACTTTCGGTAAAATGATAGCTTGTCTCCAATGGACTGTCACATATCAAAAGCGAGGCAGGAACCCTTGATGAGTTGGCTAGACTCAGAGCTAGAGAGTTTTCAGAGGAAGGGTTCTCTTGGCATAATTCTGATTAAAAAGTTAGCTTCAATCAAAGCAAGTTCTCTGAATAGAGTCAGCAAATATTGTGGGTAGGATCTTAAGGAGTTCCTTCAGAATATTCCTGGTCTATCTAAATAAAAAATCCCTTACCCGACGAATGTACTAAGAAGGAATTTAAGGAGGTCTTAGACCTTCAATCAAAGCAAGTTCTCTGAATAGAATCAATTTAAGTCTTTTATCCAACAAATTTCCTACGTAGGTAGAAACTTAAGGAATTTAAAAGACTTCAAAGATTTCCACTGTCTGAAGAAGAGTTCTTTACCCCACGAAATTTGTTGGAAGGAACTTAAGGACCTTTAAGACCTTGAATAATTCAATAGTAATAAAAGTCTATAAGAGCTACAGATATCTCGACTGTAGAGTCTGAATCAAGAGAAAATACTGAGTCTTCTGTGGACTTAGGTCTGCCTAAGAGGAAGAATCACTCAAGAAATAAGTTGATCAACTGGAAAACATAGCTTTATATATGCCGAATCTGTAATCCGCATTCCTTTTTCCCTCGCCTCACTCATCCCTTCCACAGCCAAAAAGCTGCAACCTTCTGTGAGCTCCACTGGCAGCCTGAAGCGCCATAACTCTGCCGTCGCAGCTGCTTCCTCCTCCTCCTCCCCAATGAACGCACACAGTGGGCTGGCCCATGAGCTGCTGCCGCCGCCGGGCTCACCCATTCCTAGACACATGTGCTCCAAGGCCTCGAATATGCCAACGCCGAAGGGTTCGCCGCTGCGCCGGCCACATGGCAACGCGCCGGGCGCTGCACTGGAGCAGCTGGAGGCGGGCATGCGGCAAATTACCGAGGAGCAGTGGATTGACGGGCCACGTGTGTCCCGGGCCAAAGTGGCGGAGGCGCGTCACCTGATGCGCGAGGTCAACCATGTGAAGCAGTGCGAGACCTGGGTGGACGGACCCAAATCGCAATCGTGTCGCTCCCTGACCGCGGGCAACCTGCCAACGGCTGCCCAAACGCAGGGCTACGGCTTTATGGATGCGCACAAAAAGACCATGATACGGCAGTGGGTAGAGAACCAGACGACGCAAGTCTTCCAGAGCGCGGCCAGCAGCGTCTCCGCCAGCAGTTCGCCCACGGCGCTGCATCTGAAACTGTCGCAGCTTAAGCAAAAGTCGCTGGAGCTGCCGGAGCGGCCTGTCTTCCAGCCGGAGCCGGCGCCGGAGCTGCCGCCGTGCCTGGACAGCCAGCCGGATGGCGATGATCAGGACAGCGGGCCGTCGGAGGTGCCGCCCGCGCTGCCGCTGCTCGACGATCCGCTGGGCTCGCGTGACATCTCCCACGACAGTCTGCATCGTATGCTCTCGCGGCACGTTTCGCGCGAGCAGCTGCACGAATCGGAACTGGCCGCCGCCAGTCGGGCTTCCTCCGCATCGCAGCATCCCTCGTCGCAGCGCAGCATCGACTGCGGCCTTCAGGTGACCGAGGAGGAAATCGCACGCACCATGGCGCGCAGCGAGCTAGAGCAAGTGCATCCGCTGGCTGCGCTCAGCCACTGCGACAACCTGTCCTTTGTGTCCAGCTTCAACATGGCCTGCGAGTCCTTCAGCGAGTGTGGAGAACGCGCCAGGTGAGCACATCCCTCCAGAGATAAGATTTTTTTTTTACTTGATTTTTGTGATTGATTCCTTTTCGCTGAGCGTACTTAATCCTTCACCCCTTCCTTCGTCCCATCTGCTTGCAGACACCAGTTCGATCAGCTGGCGCGTCTGCACGAGATCTTCACCTCGCAGCTGGCCATGGCGGAGGTGACGCCCTCGGCGGCGCTCTATCGCACGGATGTGGGCAGCGTGTTCAGCGAGCCCGCCTTCCGCTTCAATGTGGGCCAGAGCAGCGTGTGCAGCGAGCCGGCGTATCGGCTGACGCCGAGTCCGCCCAAACAGCCATCGCACAGTCCCAGCCAGGGCTCGCTGCCCAGTTTGAATGGCATCATGGAAATCGCCGGCATGGATGACTATGCGCTGCTGCGCCAGCCGGATGGCGCCTCGGATCCCAGTTTGCCCAAGAGCGAGAAACGTTTTGCGCCCCAGCACGATGACATCTCTGAGCTGGAGGAGAAGTCCGCGGCAGCGGCGGCAGGCGTAGGAGCCGGGCTGGGCAGACGCAGCTCGCTGGAGGATGCGCAGCACAAGCTGAACGAGATCACGAATATATTGCCGCTGGCGGCGCAGTCGCGTCTGCCGCTGCTGCCGCTGAACACCAGCTCGGAGGCATACGACAGCGGACACGACTCCTCGACGCCGCGCACCTCCAAGCATTCGGGCATATCGCGTCGCGCCGAGAGCGGCTATCACAGCGTGGCCACGGTGCGGGATTCGGATGAGAGCAGCTTCGCCTCGGGCATGTCGAAGAGCCAGCGGCATCGCATTACCATATCAGGTGGCGGCAATTATCAGCGGCATGGCAAGAAGCGCCAGCGCCAGGAGGGCAACAAGGGTCTCTGCAACTGGCTGCTGCATCCCTTCTCCTGCACCTATCCAGAGACTGAGGGCGAGATCAGCGACTTCTAAAATGCCAGCCAATCGAGTTGTCCACACCCACCAACTGAGAGCTAGTCCAGCATTTAAATGGCCAAAGAAACACACACACACACACACACAACACACATCATCCAGACATATGATGGAACCTAATCCAACAAAAAAAATCAACCCCATAAAAACCAGCGACTGATTAACTTTTACTTGGCGCCGGCTGCCACCAACGATTTTTAATTGGAGAAAAACAAAATCCATAAAAAGAAGAAAAAACAAAAAAAAAAAGTGAAAACTAATCTAATCTAACCCAACTACCTAATTATACCTATGCTATAAAGAAGGCGCCATAAACTCACTCACTCACTCACTAATACAAACGGGGCTTTAAGTATTTTAAGTTGCCAGCTAGCATAAAGAGAAAATTTCGCATTACGGGTAGTCACGATGGAAGAAAACAAAAGGAATTTAAACAGCTTGACGACGCTTATTATTTTACTAGAGGTAGTCCCAAAGGTAACACAAAAAAATATATTAAATGCATTTTCAGGTTTTTCAGTTCGGCGCTGAAAGAGTTCAAAAATATATATTTTTGAGCCAAATGAGTACCCTTACTATTTTTGTAGGGGTAGTCCCAAAGTTCACAAACACTTTAATATTAATTGCATTTCAGGTTTTTCATTTCGAAGCTGATTAAAAAAAATAAATATTTGTGAGCATATTGACTAGAATTATTTTATTAGGGGTAGTCCCAGAGTTAACAAGCACTTTAAAATGCTATGAAAAATATTAATTGCATTTAAAGGTTTTTCTTAAAGCGCTCAAAAAGTAAAAAAAATTGCACAAATATTAATTTTTGAGCATGTTGACTACCCCTAATATTCTTTAGGGGTAGGCACAACTTGAACAAAAACTTTTCAGTTCTAAAATTATTCATAATTTTTTTTCCATTTTGAACTCAAGCTTAAGCTCAAGAACTCAAGATTGCACAAAAAATTATTATTTCAGCATTATGACTACCCCTACTATTTTTTAGGGTTAGTCACAATGGCAACAAGCGCTTATAAGTACTACAAAAATATAGAAATAGTATTTTAATGCGCTCAAAAACTCCAAATTTATTGAACATTATGACTACCCCTACTATTTTATTAAGGGTAGTCACAATGATAAGAAAAACTTTTCAACTTTTCAACTCTCAATACCTAAAGGTAAGAGATCAAATTTTCTTGCCAATAAGACTACCCCTACTAATTTATGAAGATGTAATATTATGACTACCCCTACTAGTAGGAGGCTTAGTAAGCTGTCATTGCATTGGATAAACAATCGACTTAGCCCAAGAGTTAAGGGATTTTTGCCATCTTGACTACCCCTGCTGCATCTATATAAATAACATATGTACTTAATCAGGCCACAATCACTACAACTTTACAAAAAAAAGCAAAAAAAAAAAGAACGCAGAGATACATTTATATACATATATCATATATATACATACATTATATATATATATTATATCATAGCTATTTATTGTTTATTTTTTTGGTTATTTGTTTGGGTTTTTTGGGCCCGCCAAAAAAAAAGAGGAGAACGAAACGAAAGGATAACGAAAAACATAAATGATAAATTGTATGCTAAATGTTAAATGTTTGCTTATTCAAACACTTTATTGCCAATTATAAGTTACAAAATGTTTAAATTAATTGTTAGTTAGCTAAAGTTATACATCTACTAAACAAATGAAAAATGAAAAAAGGACAACAACAGCCACAGAAGAAGAAGAAGAACAACTCGAACCACTGACTATAAACGGTTTTTCGCAAGTAGACAAATGTTAAACATACAATTTTGTTGCCATTTTTGCCTAAATCAACTATGTTACAAAACAAAAAAAAAACCAAAAAAAAAAAAACCACGAAGAAACGTAAAAAATTAAAAAAAAAAAAACAAAACATATATATATATATATATATATATATATAGTACATATATATATTTATCAGAGATATTATATAAGAAACGGGCGCAGCAAATGCAAGTTTTATGAAGCTATTTAACAAAATGAATCAACTAATAAACGCATAAATATATACACACATTATTATATACATTATACGCCAGAGGAAAGCACCGAAAACGGAAGCGGAAGAGCATTAGGAAAGGCACGCCTGAAAGTATGCAACAGACTTTTTGCGCGCTTTTTTTCTCATATATAGCTAAAATTTTTGCATCGAAAAAAATCACACACACACGAGTTTTTTATTTCAATAACATTCCTTCATTGCCTTTTTAGTCGCATTCATCAAACATAACAAATAAATAACTTATTAACAAAAACTAAAAAAAAAACAAAACAAAACAAAACAAAACATAAATCAACTAATTGTATTGCATTATTATGTATTTCGTATTATTATTCCAATTATCCAAGCGTATTAATCACCAAGGCTATACTTTAATCAACCGCCCCCTACCCCCTTCCACCACTCAACCCCCTGCCCGTGCTGCCCACCCCTCACCCCGCTCCTTGCTATTAAACAAGATCTCAACATACATATACATACCATATATACAATATCATATATGATGATTCGTCGACTTCGACGCCGAATACAGACTAATTATTTTTTATAATATAAACAAATCGACAGCTGGTTTTATTGCATTTCGGGTTGCGGGAAAGGGGGGGGGGGGGGGGGTTCGAGGGGAATTGCGGGACCTCAGTTGGCCAAATAAAGTTGACGTTTTATAGATAGAGACATGTGCGCTGTCCGTGCCCACATATATCAAAGTGCCTGCCCGCCCCGCCCCCTTGACTCTGCTCGGTAAGTGCCTGCTGGGGAAGGGCTGCGCAGGGTGAGGGGCGAGGGCGCAAAAGTTAAACAATAAAAGAGGCAGGCAAAAGTACAGATTTTGTTTTTGCCAGCGCCGAAACTCGAAATACTCTCGAAAGTAAGTTTTTAAACGAGTTGTTTTAACGCGAACCGAAAAAACAAGCATATAAATATGCAAATGTCGCAAACGAACTTAAATCGAAATGTTCTTTTCTATTTCTATACAGATTCTTATGCCAATAATACCCTAAACATAAGTAGTCTTGGACTTACACTCGGGTAGAGCAGTACGTCTCGCACCCCGAGGTCAGGTGAACCTTCTTGCATGCTGCAGACGGTACTTCAAGACTTTATGAACATTAGACAAGATAAATGAACAAGACAAGATATATATATATATATATATGATTTTAGTTTAGAGTTTAATTGATATTCAATCAAGAGGATTTTCTCTTAAATAAAGTCAATAAAACTGTGGACATGAAAACCCTACGAAATGTTTCATAAGGGAATCCTTTAAAGTTTCACTATATCATTCACTCTATTCTTTTTTTTTTTCAATTATATTTCAATTCTATTTCTATATTTCAATTCTATTCCCATTGTAAATTGTATCTTGTCTTCCTTTTCCTCTGTTCTATTCTAATCTTCTTTCCATTCTAATACAATTTGTTATATTCTGCAAGTTCTTCCTGGTTATATCTTTCCAGTTCATTCTTTTCTAATCTTTGCTATTTATCATTTCTTCCTATACTTCTTTTCTTTTGATCAAATCTATCCACATAGTTTTTCAACCCCTGCTGAGTTAGGGTATAGAGCAATAAAATGTGTTGGCACCTTCTGGCAAATGCCGCGCTACAATGCGACTACTCGTCTAAGTAGAGCTCCCACTCCACACCCACCCACACACACACACACATACCCCTCTACAACCACCCCCGCCCCCTTCCGCTCGCTGGCATCAGCTCAGCCGCCGCCCCGCAGCGATTTTTCTTGTTCTGCTGGCTTTGCCTTTTGTCTGCCGCCCTTTTCGTGTCGCGCTGCGTCCTGGCAAACGTCGCCATTTCTTTTTGTGCTTTTACAACCCTCTTATCACGAAAACTTTAAATTTTCGCATTTTCGCAATTCGCAGTCACAAATGCAAATGCCGCCCCGCCCCGCCCCGCCCCGCCCACGTCAAGGAGGTGGCCGCCTCCTTCAAAGTCTGTTGGCCATATGTTGCCAATTGAGGCGAAAATCGAAAACGCGTCTCTATGCGGATTGTTTATGACCCTCGAGCTTGGGCCAAGGGAGGAGGCGGCGCTGCAAAGGAGCTTAGAGCCTTTGGCAGGACTTTCCTTTGGGCCAAGCACCAAAGGGGAATGGGATGCCTAGCTTGGGGCCTGCTGGACCTGTCGCCTTTTAATTATGGCTCGCAAATTATTTTCGAATTTTTCATCAAGCTGCGGAAATAAATGTTGACTGCAATTTCCCTGCCAACAGGATGCAAAGGATTCGAACCATATTTCTGCCTCTGTTTTTATTTTTGCCCACCTATTTTCCATTTACTGCTTTTTTTAATTTTCCTCACTTTTTTTTTTTGTAACCAGGTGCCGTCCAGTGCTCTGGCGTGACCTAAAAAAAAAATATATTCACACTCACTTCACTTGTCAAGTTGAATAAAGCGACAGGGCAGAACGGGGGCCGCGCGGGCCGGAAAGGGCCCAGATATAAATATGTAAATGTATATAAATATATATAAATATATGCATATATTAATGCGTATGTCTGTGTGTTTATACTCATTAAAATATGTCGCACTTGCAATTAGAGTTTGTCATTTGGCAGCAAAGCGGTTAATCCAGACATTCAGATATTGTTAACAAGCCCGCATCCAGCCACATTCCACAAATGTTATATATATTAATATACACACACACACACACACACACATTTAAGGTGCAGTTGAATTCTTTAATTAGTGCCAACAAAATTACAATTTTTTGCTGATTCAACTCTCGCCGTGCCCAATTAGCTCTTCACAGCATATGTGCAAATTCCAATTAGACTTGCAAATTTGTTGCCCACTAAAAACAAAAAATAAAACTCCGAAAGAGACGGCAGTAGAGCTGACTATATGCTATAGTAATTCGATTTGCGTGGAGTACTTTACAGCCAAACCTTGTAGAAATCGAGTGAGAATTGACGAACTTGATGACTCAAGCTCTTTTACCCTAAGAGATTTGCTCAAAAATAACACTATTTCGACATCGATTTTTATCGATTTTTTGGCAACGGGGCAAGGTATCGATTATCGGAACTCGTACTGGCGGACACTAGAAGGAACTACGTTTAAAATTACAAGACTCTAGCTCTTCTGGGATTAAAGCGTTCATACATACGGATACAGAGACGGATGAATAGACAGATGAATGGACAGACGGACAGATAGATGGATGGATCGACAGACGGATAGATGAACAGACGGACGGATGGACGGACGGACAGCCGAGAGGATGGACATACGGATGGACAGACAGATACTTAGTTGGACTGATAGATGGACAGACGGATGGATGGATAGATAGATGTAGGGACGGATGAATGGACAGTCGGACAGATAGATAGACAGATGGACGGATGGATGGATGTACAGACAGACAAACAGATAGATAGATAGATAGATAGATAGATAGATAGACGGAAAGATGGACGGACG